AACTAATCTTGTTCATTCTTGATACCATTTCAGTATTAATAAATGTATATTATAAAAGGGTATATACATGTAATTATAATGTATTTATACAAAGGTATGATCTTATGTAGTAATAGAAAAAACCGTAAATAAATATTCGCATAGATGAATCAGTATCAGTCATATCAATATATATGCGAAGAGACTTTGTTTTACGCTTTATTATTATATGTGATATATTTTAAAAATATAATATAAGAAAAATGTCTTACATATAATTATGATTTTTCGCTTATATAACGCGTATTTACAAAATTTTACATTTAACAAGACGTTTCAATTACTTTGCAGTATCCGTGATTTTCGCTGGACGAGATGAAAGTTTCTATAATTTATTTAATATGTACTCGCGATAATATTATACATAATTATGTACATATTTTACTCCCTCAAAGATTTAAGTTCCGATTTTAATGAAACTTTACAAATTTTATACAAACATTTTACGTACATACGTCGATCATGTATCAAATATTATGACTAATATTGATTCATTCAATAGCAATTCATTTTTGCTTATTATCTTTGTGATCTATGTTGGTTCTGCATTGTTTTAAAATGGCAGTGAATGGTCTGGGTCCTTGGAATTTTTGAATGCATAATGGTCCATAGCGGCTTATGTCCAATCATTTAACGAAATATCCGAATTAAGTATATATCGTGTATCGATTATTTAATGTTTAGTGGTAAAAATAGTTAGCTACGATCTTCATATATATTAAGTTCATATTATTTTTGTATTATAATTTTATGTCTAAGACATTATTTTCCAGTTGTATGTGATTAAATGGTTGAGAAATTATACATATTACTTTTTCGCTCATGGAGTTATTTTAAATCTGAAATGAACAAAGGGAATTGCAGTTTTGATTTATTTAGTTATAAGTAAATACTAAAAAATAGAAAATATATAATTTTAATACTAATAACATTCAAAATTAAGCCGATGGAACAAAAAATAATTTTTATTTAAAATCGCAAATAAGTTTTAAAATATATATTATAAAAATGTTTTTGTTGAACAATATATGAAAAAGCTAATTAAATAATGATAAAGTGCTCAAAAGTTTTCAACAGTTTTTAGTTTTGTTACATATTTTTATCACGAACATAAAAATAAGACACTAAAAATGTATCACAGAATTATAATTAAAAATATCACATACGTATATACATAATATATACACAATATTATTATAATATTCAATATGTATATAATTATTTATTTTAAAAGGAGTCGGGTTCGTTTATATAAGGAACTAGTTTTTGCCCGCGATTTCGTCCGCGTTAGTTTGGTCAAGAGTAATATATGTAGGTATAGCTGACCAGGCGAACTCTATTCCGTCTTAGAGGCCATAAATAATCAGGTTTTTCCTGTTTCAATCAAACAGAATGATTGACATATTAGTTAGTTGTCAAATCTAATGTCAAAAAAAACGTTTGTATGGGAAATAGAAAAGGGCTGTTTTTAGGGTTTTCCCGGCAATTATTCCAATTTTTCTCACCTTTTAAACCTTCCCTGGACTTCCAGGAGTATTTCAAGACTAAAATTAGCCAAATCGGTTTAGCCGTTCTCGAGTTTTAGCGAGACTAAGGAACAGCAATCCATTTTTATATATATAGAAGATTACATTCCGCCTTATATATTTCTGTGTTGTTTATTTTATCAAAATTATTTTAAATTATTTAAAGGTAAAGCTCAAGGAAAATAATTTACCTACTTCTTTATCTGTTGGAGCTCGCATTAATTTCGCATATTAATTTATTCATCCACATTTTAATCTATTTTAAATAATTAAAAGTGAGAAAAAAATCTGAATAATATAATTAATTTAAGTTTTATTTAAATAAAATCAAATTTTTAGAATAACATAAATGTTTTTGTGAGATATAGGTAATGTATATTTTTTATTACATACATTGAGAAACACTGATCTTGCAGTGCTAGAGCGGCGCCTTCTGTGTACATTTAAATTTATCGACATCGATATAAAATCAAACTATACTAGTATACAGGTATCACTAGATTTATGTTATGATACCGTTTGAAATATTTCGTCCGAACTGAATTATCGATTTATTGAGTCACATTAGTGATTTATTATAAACTATTAACGGTTGCAACTGAATATATATTTATAAAAATATTTTTTTTATCGTAACATCATTATTTATTAGACCATAACACTTTGAGATTACATAAAACACCAACCGGGTTATAAATCTATTATTTATATCGGTATTATTTAAATTTTATATATATTTATTTCTATTTACAGATATAAATCTAAGATAAAAATTTTATTTATTTTAAATTAATCCAGATATTGTAATAGTATTAATATTTTTTTAATATAACAAAGTTGTATTTAATTAACATCTCGTCTGCCCGTGATCACGGTTGCTTAAAAATAACCGAAACGTCGCGTCGGGAGTATGTAGTTTTTTTAGAAAAATAATCCCCGTAGTATATCCGAAAAATATTAGTTTTATTTAATTTTATTTAATAATTGAAAATAATATAGAATTTATTATAAGTGTTCAGTTCAATAACAGATATCGTTAACAACGAGTCAGTACAGAGTCAAAACAAATTGCACATAACCTGTATAGTTCAAGTCACGGCTTCCTATTAAACAGGCTGGGAACTAGGGCGAATTGGTTATTCAGACAGACACGAGGATTTACAAATCTATGAGTGAAATACAATGAATGTAACCGGAATGACGGTTTAAAATACCTTCAAATATATTATACAATACAAGAAATTTAAAATACATTGAAATAATTAATAAAATAATAAGATTTATTATTATTTCTGCGATGTAACCAAAGATAAAAAAATATTTGGATATATATATTTATATCACATTGTTCATGTAGAGATCGTGTTAAAGATATTGAATGAAAGTTTTAATGTAAAAATAAAAATACATAGAAATCATAAAATCGGAATTTATATAGAATTAGTTATATTTTGTTATATTTAAGATTGGTTGAGTTTTATTCAACAAAGAGAATTCGTAAACCTTACAGTGAAAGTAATGATTGTGATCGAATATATGAAATACGATCGAATTCTCATCACGTCCAAGAGATGACTACAGATGAGAATTTAATTTGTAATATTTTTTATTGCGTAATACAAATATGAGGCTTGGAATAGATTTAACGACTTAATCATAAAAAGATAATTAGCAAAGCAAAAATAATATGCAAATTGTATTAAAATCATTAAGATAGCATCAAATCATACAAAAAATATCATTTTTATGTGTTCAAATTACATATATGTATAATGATTTTTTTTAATCTAGTCCCTCAGACTTGGTCAGAGACCTTATTTGCTTTCTTCCTGCATACTGTCTTTCTATCATACCTCTCTTTGATACCTAGGTTACACTTTCCTAACTTGTGTACCTATCTATCTTATATACTATTTGTTACATAGGGATCATATATAATGATTAGCCTATCAAGTATAAGGTATGTTCGTATTCTGATATAGATCTACACTTGATTAGCGAAAGTCAATAGAAAGGCTCATCAGGGCGGCCTAGTTTCACTGATTGATTGTATATTGTATAATGTACTATAGTATCAGAACAATATAATCGTATAATAATCATATCATATAATTTAATCATATATAATGTACATGAGAAGCCTGTCACCTGCACTTGGTTAATCCCTTTCTTAGTTTCTATATCCCTTTAAACTCCAGATGGAGCTTTATTATCATATCATCATCATATCATAATGATAGCCTGTTAGTTTTTATGCTTAGAATATAAACATACTTAATTTCTTACATACAATATTCTTTTAACGTTCTTTTTCAATACTAGTTAAATATATTAATAGAATTTGAATAACTTTTTGTTATTAAAAATCTTCTTCTTCTTCTTCTACCTGGCAATTTCCCAGCTTTAGCCAGGGACTGCCTTACATATTGTATATATGTAGTTTTGGCTAATTGTTTTTACGACCGGCCGCCTGCCTGACATCAACCCTTTTTGGGAATGCATTAATCAGTGATGTCTAAATACTCTTAGAAAGTATTATGACTCGGAAAAATCACATTGGTACTTGCCAGGATCGAACCCGCGCCCTCATGCATGAGAGGCGGGCCTTTTAACCACTAGGCCACCACTGACTACGTTATTAAAAATATTAAATATGTAATGATTATATTTTAATTCAGTTTATCTAAATAAAGCAACTCATTAAAATAATTTGTAACAAAACAAATGAATTCACTTTAATTTACGATATTTATTGATAACTTGTAAATTTGTTTCAGACAAAAGAGAAGAATAACAGAGAAGTTTTGAAAACAGACATACAACATCGTAAGGAAACATTCTACAGGGTGAGTTAAGCTATAATAGATTCATAGAATAATAAAAATATATGATAGTTCACAGTTGTTTCATACCAATAATATTACTCATAATGCACGTGTTACTATAGTAGGTAAAGACGTAGTTTTATAGTAGTAATGTTAAGGATACTACATAATTTCAGTCTGATGGAAAACAATAGTCTTTGTGTTGATAATTTTTAGTAATATGACAAACTGACGACGTAAATCTATGAAATTATTTACTGTATAATTTCTAGCAGTTTAGAGAAAATAAGGAATTTCGTTTGAAAATATTTTTATTGAAACAAGTCTTTATAAAGTAATTAATTTCAATAATATGTTACTTTCTCTTAAAATAAATCCACTGTTTGTAACTATATACAAATTATCTATTAGTGTTTTATACTTATCGATAAATCTGAAATAACTTAATATAGTATTAATGAATAAGTAGGATTTATTGGACTTATAGTCTTTTGAAACATAAGTGAACGATATAAAATAAATTCGATAAAATAACAATGTATTCTTTGGAAGATATTCACATAATTATTAGTATGTATATGTATATATGTTATATGCTTTTTGACGTATTATGCAGGAGGGTCCGTCGGACGAAGACTCCGCTGTGTCGTCTGCTCCAGCCTCTCTATCCCCTCAACCTCTCAACGAAATGTGGGTAAGTATCATTTTACATACATTGATGACCAATTACGTACAATTCCTTATCAAACAGAAGTAATCCTTCAATGGACATTTAAAGTAATATTTTCAATAGTCGTACGATATTAAAATGTTATGTGTTTTTAAATGATGATATTATAATTATTTTCTTTTTGTTTCTATCTTCCTAACACAAACGCAACAGACAATCACGGAATGTCTACTCCCTACTTGATCATCTTATTCTGATAAGTTTAGCTACAAGGGGGCTCATCCATACATTAAGATACCCTTTGAAATAGGTAGGCTATCACTAGAATGTGATTTTGTGTGGCAATAGGCAGGCAACAGAAGGTTCACCCGCGTGACGTAAAAATTTTAAATATTCAAACGCGATATTAACAAGTGAATAAATAACTCAATATTCCTGTAACTTAAAAATTTAAATAAATGGTAAGGGTATCAGTGTTTAAATCTGAGGTTAGTGCTTGTTAATTATTCTATTACTCATGTTTCAGTTGTTTGGTATATCTTCCATAGTGCAATCGCAAGGCTTGGTATAAAATTGTAAAATCTTTCAAGTAGCTTTAAGGCAGGGTTATGAAAACTGACCAAACTATGTCGAGGACAGAGATTGGCTTTAAAAAGTGTTTTTAATTTTTGTTACGTAATTTAAGGATACCCCTATTTTATTTTCAAAAAATTCATTTTTTCAATTTATACATAAACCTTCGTTTCTTCAAAACGTTTCTTTGATTGGACGGAGCTAGGTTAACCTATAACAACATTTATATAAAGTATTAAAGAGCTTATCTGTTGCACCTTAGAGGGTTTCCATTTGTATGTTCTTAATTTACTTTGTATTATACCGATTTATTTTCACGCCGAACACTTGTGGTTCCGTATATTTTTGATAGTCATTATACTAATAATATTTTTTAAGAAAGGAATTTTATTAAACTATGCACTCACGGATATATCACAGTTTAAATATTGACATATATCGTCATTTGGTATTTGTTGCCGTCCTTGCAGTCATGAGAGTCATCGTTTAGAACGCTAATGCCGCGATTGCGATACCTTGTCACCCACTAAACTATTGACGGTGCTTGCGTCATACAACCATTGTGATGTAGGGTTACCAAGCTCTAGACAATTACTTGTATCATTATCATTAATTATATATTAAAATCACACTAATAACTGCCTTTATAACGGAAGAATATTAAACAAAAAGAAAATAATAAAAAAAAAAAATCTCGATATATAACTTGTATGACTCAAGAAAATATGTATAACAAAACATAACATTATTGTAATTAATTAGTTAAACAGTTATAATAACCTAATTGGAAAGTGAAACCTTGAGTTAATTCTTACTATGGCCATAGTGCGGGCAGTGCACGCGGCTGTCAGACGCGCTGAGAGACGCGCGCGATCAACTCGAATTGATGGAGTTCAGGCTGTTGGAGCTGGAAGACGCCGCGCCTGATAAGGTGATGATGTGATATGTGTGATAAGAGTGATAAGTGTGATATGTGTGATGTGATATGTGATTCGGTATGTATCTCACCCTTAAACCTGAATTACCTTAGGTCTTTTTGTTCGTAATTATTTATCGTATTGATTTAAATATCTACAGTCGGTATTACCTTAGGTTTTTTATATTCGTAACTATTTACTGCTGTCGAATTGATTTGAATTTATTATGAATGTTTAAAGATTATTGTGGATTTCCAAGTAATAATAATTTAGTAGTTTTTGCTAGTGAATATCTTTATGTTGTAATGTTTTGTTTAACTGGCCTCTGATTTGAAGGTTTTATCCAACGACGCAAAACAATGTTAACGAGCTCTGAAATGTTTGTTTGACGATTAATTTTAAACGAGATTATACTTAAATATTAATGTTTTAATATATTATATGATCGAAATCGTAAGAGGTGTATGCTTGTGTGTTTCCGTTGACTTATATTGGGATCCATGACTGCTTACTTCCTGTTACGCGCATCGAATACTCCCAAGTACTTTTAATGGCACAATGAACCATGTCTATATAAAATACAAATAGTTATCATATTTGACGCAAAACTATCAGCTAAATTCTCATATAATTATGTATATTTTTTTAACCATCCAACGCAATAGACATCACGTGATAAAATAGTTTTAAAAGAGATAAAAACATATTTTTAGTTAAGAACTAACCTTTTCATGATGTCACCTCAGTCAGAACACCTTGTGTATACATTATTCATATTTACGACTTGAAGTATTTGTCTTTATTCAATTATACTAATAAGAAAAGACGTATGTATGTAGTTATGTAAAAGTTCAACGAATTACATTTACATTTCAATGTAATGAGGTGTATTTAATGACTATAATTTTTTATGTTTTCATAACAAACAAACAATTATTTATATTAAATCGAGTTAAAACTGAAGTGATGAAAAATATTTATAAATCAAAGTAGACCAACATCCGCATAAGCAATTTTATTAAAGATCATCTCTATATATAATAATCAGACCGTGAATGAAAGATGTCATGAGTAGTGATTAGTGTTAAAGAATCTCAATTATCTAAAACATTTGTTTGAAAGGATACATTCAAGGTCGTTCAAGTACGGTATTAAGATTAATTCCTTTTATATATCACTAGCTAGTTCTTGGTTATAAATTGGAATTTATATACAAAATATAGTTCGTATTTAAATAAATGAGAATTAATTTGAATATAATAATCATTATTCATATGTTAATGGTTTATCAGGAGAATATATTATATTTGTTTTTGTTGAATATATATGTATATATTCTTTATTCTTTTATATGTTCTCCGAGTTACATTATAGATATTATAATAGGTAACTGTTGGTATAAGTGACGTCATAAACTACCGTTTCCCATTTCCGTTTGCGAGTAATTAAAGTCTATTTGTGCAAAGACTGGTGTTGTAATGCGTATCCTTCAAGCATACGGTAGGCTTAGATCTTAATACGTAAGATTCCAAGTAAACATGATGCGTAAACAAGTAAACAAAATTACGTTTTATTATTGTAGAGAATATTGAATATTCATATCAGCTAATGGTAAAATCTTATATGGAAAAATATTAATTACGTAATATTAAATTGAATCAAATATAAATTAAATTGATCTAAAGTATTTTGAAACCCCTATGTAAAGCATCTGTTAATGCTCGTCAATAGATTTTTCTGTGACGATATTTTATCGATGATAAATAACTTGGACTAAATAAAATGTAGAAATATATAAAAATAACTAAATAGTATTATAAATTGCAATGTGTAGATGAAATCTCAAATGTGGTTATATATACCGTTACATGCATTTCATAATAAATTCAAATTAAAGTTAATTAAATTATTACTCTAATTGCTTCCCGATTAACAAAATTGAAGTAATATATTATGTAACACTTTCTTGAAATTAATTGATGAAACATGTTTTAAAATGTCGGCTATAAACAGTTAATAACAATACAGAAAAATATTTTTATAGTTCAAAATAAACGGCCATGCCTTCTGCAATGTAAATACATTAGTACAGTAAATACTTAGTACTAGCTTTCCGCCCGCAGCTTCGCCCGCGTGAAGTTCATTTATATCGCGTTTCCAAGAGAACCTTTCAAAAGTCTGATAAAAACTATCCTTTGTTCTTTCTCGAGGTTAACTCTATCTCTGTACCAAATTTCATTAATATCAGGTCAGTGGTTTAGGCGTTAAAGCGTAACAGACAGACAGACAGAGTTACTTTCGCATTTATAATATATTAGTAGGGATATATTTTTTTCCTGTAATGTTTAATGTTGCTCTTATAAGGAAATCTCATATCTCTATCTGGACCGATCTTAAACATTTTGTATTCATAATCAAATTAACTTAATGGTAATACCTTGCATAACTATGCCTTTTAAAGCGCGTTAGGACATGTAGGAGGGAAAACTACAAAAAAAAATTGCCCACGCTCGATGTTCAAATGAGCATATTGTCATTTATTCTTTAACTTTTATGTAGAAAACGTTGACACAGTTATAAAATATACTAAAAACAAATCAAATATTCAATTTATTGCATTACAGTTTGTTAGAAATGTCTTCTATAGATATCTCTTTATATGGACAGGCATTAATAAATTATAAATTAATACAGGGTGTCAGGGAGAATCTAACCGATTCTGATTCGGGCTGCGTATCCCCTGGTTCGAGGATCAAAGACTCAGCATCACCAGAACTCAAACGTATGGACTCCGGATACAAATCCCCACATTTACCAAGCAGTCCGAATCCAAAAAGACACGCACACAATGACTTTAAGGAAGACTTTGCGAGGGCCCAAGAGGTTATGGAGAATTCCGAAAGCGATTCGCTTAAAAGCAACCCCGTGAAGGATCATTTGGAACAGATGATACTCAACGCTGTCTCCGTTGAAGATAGGAATTGTTTGGAACAAGTGCTCATGATGTTGTATAATTTCCAAGCGCTTAGCAGTTCCGTCAGTGAAGATGAATGCTTTCAGGTGAGTTTTTGAGATTCTTTTGCGATGTTTTAATATACTTATGTTTCCCTTGAATTCAAGGTAGAAGTCAAATAAATAAATAGTGTTGTTAATTAATAGAAATGATAACCACGTGATTCCAAACAAGTTACAACTGTTTTGCCGTAATCCTGAAGGTGTTACACTTCATAGAGTTTTAAGATAAATTATAGGAAACATGTTGTTCTCATATCTCTGTACACTGCAAACTTTCATCAAAATCTGTCTAGTACTTTTTATATAAAAGGGGAACATATATGTTTCTCACAAACCTTTAGAATGTTAGTTCCATTAAACCTTAAATTAAGATTACTTTATGATAATTTGTCTTGAAAACTTTTTGCGTTTAATAAAAAACAAAACAATGACGTCTGTCATAAGAGTCACAACAAACAATGTCCTTTATACAAGTTATATCATAAAAAATATATTTACAGTCAAAACCAAGGAGAATATGTGATCTGAGACAAAAATTGGATATAGACATTCCACTGCACAAAACACACAAAGCAATCGCAACAGTCACACCTTACCAACAGAAAGGATATAAATCATCACTAGAGAGTCTCTGCGATGAAAGAAAACCAAATAACATTTTACAAGAAAGCGGTATTTTCGAAGGAGTTGAATCTGAAAGCAAAGGAACTCAAACCGACAACGAAAGTTTTGAGTTCAGCGGTGAATTGAACACTGAAATACAACGACTGAATAGTATAAGGGAAAAGTTAGAGAAGCAAGGTGTTAGAAATAGGACGCTCAAAGACGAAGATAATCTAGAGTGTAAATGCGTTAAATTGGGCAAAAAACACAAACAGTATTACGAGAGGAGGCTTAAGTTCTTGGAAGGAAAGATTTCGATATACGAAGCGGCTTCTGACGTGAAAGAGGCGAAGTTAGCGAAGAGACTTCAAAAGGAATATCAGTTGGAAAACAGAATACAGGTAACTTTAATATCGAAATAGTATATTCATTAATAAGTCTTGTTTGACTTTGATATATATTAAATGAATTCATTAATCAACAGGAATTAGAAAATCAACTCTCAGATCTTCAAGACAAGTACGAGAGGTTAGAAGAGGAATGCTGTGAACTAGAAGAAATAGAAAACGATACACGTCTGCATTGGCAACAGTATGTCTATTGAATATTTATTAATAATCCTTTAAAGTATATTGTGTATCAAAATAATTGAAGATCTTTAACATATCTAATTCTATCCCTTCTTAATGATCTTCTTCCATTGTCTAAGGTATTGTGTTCACAGATATATGTATATATAATACAAGATATATATTAACCAATTATTATTATCAGTGACACCTATCGTCCGTGTTAACGTTATATGTTATAAATATTCGTGATGGGTTGTCCTGCAACATTATTTATCTCTTCATTGGGATAACTTAAAGGAACTACACGGTATTAAGGGACAAATAATACTACTGTCCAAAATATATGAATTTTTTTGAAAATTTTCATCCAATTCCGTTCATTACATTTTAAGTCAAGACCAACAAACATCATAACACAATTTAGTACTTATTCTTTCAACAACATTGTAATGCTCACAGATATATTTTACTTATGTCTATTTTGCCATATTCCTTAATAAGTTTCATAATCGTTTCCATATAAATATTCCCAAAAAGAGGGTTGATGTCAGGCAGGCGGCCGGTCGTAAAAAACAAATAGCCAAAAACTATTCACAACATGTAAGGCAGACTCTGGCTATAGCCGGGAAATTGCCAGGTAGGAGAAGAATCGTTTCAATATAAATGTGTGTTTTGTAGGTTGGAGATGGAATATGAATTATGTTCTGCTACTCTCCGCGACATGACTGAACAACGCGAATGTTCCCGAGCTCAGGCCGAGCGGCTGGCAGCTCAGCTAGCTGACAAGGAGTGCGCTCTTAGGGCTAGAGAGGTATGCTATCTCTTTCTCACTTATTATAATCCCTTATTTCTATTTCGCTCTTTCTCATGTATGCTGTGTTTTTCTCATTTATTATAATCTCCTATTGCTATTTCGCTCTTTCTAATTTATTATAATACCTTATTGCTATTTCGCTGTTTCTCATGTATGCTGTGTTTTTCTCATTTATTATATACTCCTATTGCTATTTCGCTCTTTCTCATTTATTATAATCCCTTATTGCTATTTCGCTCTTTCTAACTTATTATAATCCCTTATTGCTATTTCGCTCTTTCTCATGATTGCTGGATTTAAAGATGTTGTACAAAAAATGAAATAATTGTTCAAAATTCCTTTATTCCATATTATTTATTTTCGAAGTACCATTCCGTATCATCCAATCTTTATTTTATATATTTTTTTAAGGTAATATGTAGTAAGTACAAAAAAGACCTTTGTATAGGTAGAAAGATTTTTTTGTTTAATACAAGAATAGATTTCTCTATAATATTGGAATGTCTATATGACGTCCAAAAAATATCAAAAGTGCCTAGCCTTCGTGTCTTGCAAATTAGACAACATTTAAGTTGTATCCAGTATGATAAAATTTGGTTTACAATAGACGTCTTAAGTTCTAGTTATTATATTAACATTTGCTGCTAAACAAACGTTTATAGTTGATCGGAATGTCTATTGTGTTCGAATAATATGTAGAATATTGTTCCACTTTCTATTATTTGTTAGCATAGTACATGTATTATATCTGGTTTGGATAAATTCTTGCGATATTGTTACCTATAAGTGTATTGTAACGAAGTTAATTTAAGTTTAATTATATTTTTATTTCAGGCTGAATTATTATCTAGACTCGAGGGCTTGGAAAAAGCTATACCAGCGCTCATCATGTGGAATATAGTTCAAGCTGTTGGACATACTCTCTCTTATGGCGGACGGGTAATTAATATTAATAAACATTTTCCAAAAAAACTTGGAGATTTTTCAAACATTTCCTTGTGCAAAAAAACTTTTTTGTATGATACCAAATTTATGTATTATCGTTTCAGCATGCCCTTATGAGCCGAATGGGTCCATACGGTCAAACAAAAAAATCATTGATCGCTCATATACAACAGAGGAATAAGGAACACGAAATATGCAATTCATTGGTTGCATACAACGATAAAGAATCAATGACTACAAGACAGCTACAGAAACAAATCATCACGTACTTATTATTCATAATTTTTTTTTTCTTATAAGATACTAGAAGACTCGGCGAACTTCGTATAACCCTATAATCAAGAAATATCTGTTACGTTTTTTTAATAAATAAAGTTAGGTTATATACCTTAGCCTCAGAAACACGTACTGGTTATGCTATTATGTATTAAATAGTCGCTCATATATGACGTTTGTATTTTTAACATAGCGCCATCTATTGAATACTTAACTCAGTCAACAGATAATTATAATAATGACAAATAATTTTCTTTACTCGACAAATAATTAATTTGCAGTAAAATAATATTGTAACTATAAATTGAGATGAAAGCTATCCTATCTTTCAAGTTGGATCAAAATGCACACGGAATGCAAATAAAATTTAAAGTCGGTTTAGTAGTTTAGGAGTTCATCGCGTACAAACACGTGACACGAAATTTTTATATATATAAAGATGTAAATTATATTCAAAATTTACAGATTGATATCAGAAAAGAAAGAAGTAGAGATTCAAGCGGTGGAAATGAAGAAGAAATTGGAGCAGAACGTTAAGAACTTGGAAGAAGAATTAGAAACTATGAAGCGACAACTAGCAGCGACATCGAGATGCGCTGACGCTAAGAAGGGCAAAATAGAAGATAAAATTGTTGAGTTAGAAAATAAGATGGCTAAAGAAAAACACGATCAGAAGGTATTTGTATATATTTTTTTGTTATTTAGAATGAAGTATTAAATATATATTATCTTCAATTATTAAGATTAGTTTTTGTGACTTTCGTTAATGCCTTTAAGCTGAAACAATTTGTACTTGTCAAAGCATTAATTAATTACAAACTATAATAATAGAAATCTTAATAATTAACCGAACATGAATATATGTAGTACAAATTAATCCTTCTTCTACCTGGCAATTTCCCGGCTATAGCCAGGGTCTGCCTTAACGTGTTATGAATATGAATAGTTTTGGCTAATTGTTATTATTATTATTATTATTGTTGGCTAATGTAGTACAAATTAATATTTCACAAAAATTCTGATTTCGTCAAATCTTTATTTATTTATTTATTTACAACAAGCACACTTAAAACATACATATTGAATATTTACAGTTAAAGTGACTATATTAAAACATCAGATATGTACGTCAAATCTTATTGGATTGATAAAAAATATTAAAGAAACTTAAAAAATTTTGATCCATCACCTGTATAAGGTTTTTCAACTCATTTTTATTTGATATACTAAGAAAAATAATTCTATATGACAATATTTTGATTACTTTCATATTTTGCCAGCTTCCAGCCGATATGTCCACGGTTCAATCTCTGTTGGTGCGTGAGAAGGCTTTGCAGCAGAGGATCGAGGAATTGGAAACAAGGGAACGAGCTTATCTTGATATGTTGACACAAGCTGATGATATGTGGGCAGAAATGGAGGGAGGGTATAAGAAGAAAATACACGACTGTACGACCGTGGAGACGGAATTAAAGGGAAAGGTATGATTATGATAGAGGAAAGGCTTACTAATGTATAGGATGACTAATAGTTGTGAGATTTGAGACTTTCACGAGTATTCATTTAAACAAAAGTAATATTTTTCGGATATACTATTTATTCACATCTCGTCTGTTCGTGATCACGGTTGAAAAGTAACCGAAACGACAGGACTATTTAGTTTTTTTTACAAAAATAATGCACGCGTAGATATTGGAAAAATATTAGTTTCGTTAGACTTAAAATTGAATAATTCATTGATATTTGGAAGATTGGATTTCCTTAGTATATAGAAAAAGTGTGCTTCTTTTGGTTTAATTATAGAGTTACATCTTTCAAGATGTTCTATTTATAATTTTCATATTTAATAAAATCGTTTTTTAATTTGAAAGAAAAATATAATGTTTTTGCGTATTATTTCTGATGAACAATTAAAATACTTTCCAGGTGAAAAAATTAGAGGAAGAGAGAGATCAATGGAAGAACTGCTTCGAGCCTCTGAGGAAGAAGTTGAGGGAGATTGAAGAATCTGAATCCGGTATGAGGATAGCGTTGGAGAAGGCTGAGAGAGATGCGAAGAATTTGAAGACACAAAACACGAACCTGGCGGCCTTGTTCGAGAAGGCTGATGCTGATGCTAAGAAGGCCGAACTCACGGTCAGAGATTTGGAGTATAAGTTCAAGGTATATATTTATATATTTTTATATAAAAACTTAATTATATAGCTTCCTTGTAGATAATTATAAAGTTTGTTATTACGCCCTCTATAGTAAAATTTTATAGATGTCTACGATTATTACTACATGTCAATACCCAGATTAATTAATATAGAAAAATGTTTGGATTTTGTAGTTATTTGAATATACATACATCAAATGTACGTAAAATAAAACAGTTGATATTAAGAAATTAGACTGATATTTTTGGATCTACTACGCGATCTCGACTGGCCGTGATTCACTATTGCAAAGAACTGAAATGTCACGAGTATGTAGTTAAAAAAATTAAAATAGCTTAGGAATCCGAAAATATTATTTTTATATCAATGAATGCTCTTAAAGAGTTTATATTCTTCGTCTACCTCGCAATTTCCCAGATTTTAGTCAGGGTCTGCCTTGTTGTGAATAGTTTTGGCTTATTGTTTTTACGACCGGCCTTCTACCTGACATGAACCCTCTTTGGGAATGCGTTCAGTGATGTCTAAATACTCTTAGAAAGTACATATGACTCGGAAAAATCACATTGGTACTTGCCAGGATCGAACCCGCGCCCTCATGTATGAGAGGCGGGCCCTTTAACCATTAGGCCACCACGAGTTGACATATTAATACAATTTCTATATAAGAACTTAATTATAAAGTTTGTTATTACGCCTTCTATAGTAGAATTTAACAGATTGCCCAGACTGTCCTACATAGAACCAATTTTTTGATCCTTTACTTAAGTACAAAAACATCAATTGTACGAAAAATAAAACAGTTTATAGTATGATTTCAAAATAATAAACCCAACTAACTCATGTATTTATCAATTTATGTAACATACAAGACTTTAGTACCAATTTACTTTTCAAGAAATTATTTTAATACAGTAGATTAAATAAGATAAAGGCAGAGAATTGTCATTAATACTTCATACACTAATATTAGTCCGATATCAAAGAAAGTTTATTTTGGTGCCGAAATGTTTGAATAGAGTTTATATTAATTACAGAGAGAGACGGATCAGCTGCGTAAAACGAATAAGCAGTTGGATGAAGATTTGAAGAATCATAAAGAAGCTGCCAAAAAAACTGAGAAATGTTACATAGGAGACTTGGACTGTATACGGAAAGAATTAACAAGAACGTGTAAGAACAACCAAGAGTTAGAAGTGACGAACAGTGAACTAAAGGAAGAGGTAAATATTGTGAATAAGTTTGAATAATCGGCTTTAAAATTGGGAATATTATTGAAGCTAATGCCGTTTCCAAAATGTCGGTTTTATTACAATTTATAAGAAAGAAATATGATATATATTTTATATAATATTTAAATTTATTAATTTTAAATTAAATTAAAATGATTTTTGTTTTCATATGTATTAAGTGTTATACCTTTTTGATTGCTTTTTATTTTGTTTCGTTTGGCAGTAGTTATTTTGTTTAGTTATTTGTTATTAGAAATAGGTTAAGTAACTAACCAAGTAGCGCTTGTAGATTAGACTAACACGGTGGCGACATTTATATGAATATCGGGTTTGATCTACAAAAGATATTGATATAAAATAACAATCTAACACTACTCATATAAAATGTTAAACTAATTTTATATCAATAGCTTTTCGAACGACAAAAGCATGATTGTCAGTCTTAGAAATCGCTCGGCTAACGAAGACGGTGCATGAAATAGTGAAAAGTGTAAATATTGCATGGAAAATAACAAAATGTAAGGAGGAAATGTGTTCTCAGGTCGAATCATTGGAAAAGCAGTTGGCTTTGACACAGAAAGCTTTGAATCAATGTAAAAGGAAATGCGAAGATAGAATTAAGACGATGAGCCACGAACTGTCAATCAAGACGGAGGAATTAGAGGAACTGAGAAGCGAAACGCTGAGGAATTCATATCATACGACCAGAGTTGAACTAAAACCTGATAGAACAGAATATGTTGATGAAGGATACTCAATATACACAGATACACCAAAGAAAGATTACAGCAGAATGCATCACAGCATGAGCTATATATCAGAAACACGATGTTCATGTCCAACCATGAGGAACCAATTAGTCAGTCAGTTAATAGAAGATCTCTTCGATAGAATACACAACACAGTCGATGAAGATTTAACGCAATTATGCAATGATATCGGACCGGTTAACGGGAAAATCAGTGCGGAGGCAAAATCGAAAATAATGAACTACCTACTAATGGCGATATCAAAAGAACTCATTAGATCTATAGGTGACGCTGACGCTAAAACTGATAGTGAGGTGAGTGTGTAACTAATTACTGCATAGTTTATGTCTAATAACTAATGTCTAACTTTGGTTGAGGTTATACCTTTAACTATACTATATTCATGAATTTTTTGTCACAAAAATCTATAGTCTATTTTTACTTACTAGAATATTCGAAACAAGAAAAGATATTTTATATAAATATAAGTTTGAGGAGTTTTTAAAGTAAAATATTCTCAAAATTACTCCAGGAATCACTTATTTTCTATATATGTATGTTATTTGTGACGTAATTATGCTAGGAATGGCAGCGTTCAGCCGCATCCTACACCGGCGGACCAAGTTATACTGGTAACGCTGGTGTAGTGAGAGGCGCTGCTCGTCTGGCTAGTGTGAGTTGCGCATGCGCAGCCGCGAGACTAGCAGCCGCTGAGCCGCAACTGGCAGCGGCTGTTAGGATTTGCCAAGAGGTTAGTACTTGTATGAGTGAGTGTGCATGTGTGCGTGCGTATTTAAAGCCGCGCGTGTGTGTGTGTGTATGTGTGTGAGCGAGCGTACGTGTTGTACATTTGAGTGTTTGTGAGTACTTTCTATTTCAAGACGTGTTCAATGTGTCACGTTTGTGTGTGTGTGTGTGTGTGTGTGAGTGAGCGAGCATATGTATGTATTTGTGAGTTATTACTATTTCAGGAGTCCTATATGTGAATGTGTTAAGTGGTTTATATTTGCGTTTACGTACATTTGATACATGTGTGGCGATTTAGGCTATATTAAAGTGAGTGTCAAATTATTGTTTGGTGTATGTATGCATTTTCAGTTTGAGTGAAATGGACTAGTTAAGCAAGAAGTTTTATATACTTTATATGTAGATATAAATTATATTAAAAATTATTCATTGTGTTTTCAGGAAGTTTTGGAACACGGGGACGTGAAAATCATGGAGGAACAATTAGCGAATGCGATCGAAAGTATTGTTGTGAGTATAGCACTGAGAATGAGAAGTTTATCAAAAATGTTGATTATACTAATAAAAACAATTTTATTATATTTCAGAATTGTCCGTCTTGTGCGTTGGGTACAAACGCGATAGTTTGGAGTACAGACGTTTAGTTGTCGTGTTTTAATAATGTAAGAATATTTAATATATAAAATTAAATTTGACATGTAAAGTCGGATGTTATTATTATATTTTCTGTTTCAGTCAACCTCCACCGACCTCATACTGGTGCCTTCATTGTTTTTAGCGAGTGACTTTTATGTATATACACTGTATTATACTAAGATTATATTAAATAAGCGAACATATCGATAAATCTCACGAATCAGATGCTTCGAAGTAATATTTTTATTTGTATTTTAAAATAATTTATAATTTCCGTGCCAATTGTGTTTTGTAAATAACTATATTATTATTTTTTTTGTTCTAGTTTGTCGATCTATTAATACTAAAATTCCGTTATAACGAATGTATTCACATGTTTCACGGTTTTGAAGATGTTATTAATAATATTATTAATTTCATTTGATTAAATGAATACTGTATTTTATTTGTATTTTTATTAAAACTCTACTCGTAAGATATTTTTTTTGCAATTATAGAATTTATTGGTATGAAAGTATAAAAGTAGATAATAGATTTTAGAAAAGATTTAAATAGAAATAGTTGTGGTTAAGTATTTTAAAATTAATTATGTAGTTTTTATATTTTTGTACTTCTAAACCTAAACAGTGTTCGTTCCAACGAAACGAGATAAAAATGTAAGAAACTCGTTGGTTTTATATATCTTTTAGGATATTAAAATAAAATTGATGAAATTCATCTAAATTCTCAGTTTCATAATGATGAATTTAATTAAGTTTAACTCATTAATAAATAAAACCGGCATATTTATTAATTATAGTATCACCATGATAATTACTTCAAAATAATCTTAATCCGTAAGACTTAAAAAGTCCGTAAAAGACAGATCTTTACACAAATAACTCCTTAAAAATAGTAGCAACATAAAATATTTTTTTAGGGATACAGCAAAAATGCTATAAAATTATAGGTTCTTCTTGTTTTGATTATTTTTCAGAACGTAGATGGTTTTCATGTTTTATAAAAGTGTGTATAAAAAGTTTCATGTAGGCATACTATTCTAAAATCAAATAAATGTTATGCATCTGACAGAATAATCACTACAAGATGTATCTATGACAACTATTATCATATACAAAATCATTAATTTAAAATATACATCATGTTTCATAGTAAAAATTGATAAAAACATGAAATAGAAACTTGATATTATTATAAAATTGAATTATTAAAATAAAATTAAACGTATCAGCTTATTATAATATTTTTTGATTCAAATAACATTTCCAGGCCTGTCAAAACTGTCCATCGTAGCATGATGATAAAGCAAAAAGGAAATCGTGTGAGAATAAGCAGTCATAAGAATCTGATAAATGATTTGGAAGAATACTTTCATAGCGAATCAAAATGTTCTTGTCCAGTTTGCGATTCTATATCATGCTTTCAAATTAGAAGGTTCAATTCGGGATTATCATGCACGTGTTTGGATTGTAACCGGGATCGATGTTTGACTTGGGATAACAATGACGATAATAACAACGATAATCCGCCAGATACTGACGCAGCCAGTAAAGTTAGTAAGGCATCAGACGCAGGAATTAAACCGAAAAAGAAATGTTCAGCTCCTATGAATGATAACAACGAAGAAAGTTCATGCTGCACAAAAGATTGTAATACACCAGAAAGTAAGCAAATTGTATCAAACGATTACGCCGTACAAATAGAAATTAAAATCTCCGATGATTTTAACCCAGACTCCATAAAGGATCGAACCTCGAAAAAAGCATTCGACGATGAAGATTTTTTTCCTGAATTTTATAAAAAAGACGACAAACAAAAAGTAAAAAGTGATTTTATCAAAGTTAAACCAGTATCAATGAAATGTTGCAGTTCAAACACTTGTATAGAGAGTATAAATGCTATACCCGAACGTACGGAGATGAATTTAGATAAAAATACTTCTGAATATAGCGACACTTTGTTTATAGATGATAAGAAAGCTATTGCTTCCGAGGAAAACATAGAACCAACAGACACTTACATTTCAAACACAGTTGAAAGTAAAGATTCTATAACTGAGCTTATTGATATCATTAAAAATAATGGAAATAGAGAAGATTGGAATTCTTATAATTCCAAAGTTAAGAAGGAATGTAAAGAATGTTGTAGCAGCAAAAACTTTGAAAGTAAAAGTAGTAAAAGTCATAATACTAAATCAAGTGCAACTGAAATTGAAGTGCAACCAAAGAAAAAAGATTCATATTCTCAAAACACAGGCTATCTTAAAACATCTAAGACAATAAGAAACGAGCTGTACACCAAAAGATACGATGATGCTAAAAAGGTATTCAATGATGACGATTTTGATAATGCTAAAAATCGTGATATTTTAACAAAAGAAAATAAAAATCTTGAAAAATGTTACAACGTAAGTAAATATTTGAGAATTGAAGAAGATACACAGTATCGTCCGAAAAATAAAAAAGAAAGAGATAGCAGGGCAGAAAATGATTGGACCGGTAAAGATTCTCTAAATGACGATGAAATTATTAGATTACAAAAAATCATAAATCTGCTTACTCATATTGACGACAAACAAGATAATGATGGCTCGAATTTAAAGCAATGCGTATATACGGATGTATCTCATAAGAAGAAGAAAACTATTCGGAAGAAAAATGAAAAGACCTCTGAGAAGAGTTCCTCTCACTTAAAAAGTATAGCTTTAAGTTATTCTAAACCGGATTACAGCAGTTCACGGGCCGAATTGAGCGCTCAAGTCATGAATGTACCCTACGAAGAACTTAAAGAGACCTTGTCTAGAAGACAATCTTCAATACATTCTGACGTATCTAATACTCCAAAGGAATTACCGAAGCTAGATATTTTTTCTAAACTAAAAGAATTATACAAGGCCTGTAGCTGTAAGGTCTGCGAATGTTTACCTAGCAATTCTTTTCCAAAAAACAATGATATATGCAATTGTAAACCCTGTGATTGTGATGATTGTAAGAAATATACGGAAAAATTAAGAAATAGATTTTTAAATAGACCTCCATCCGGATGCCCGTGTGTAGCTTGCGATAGAAAAGATTGTCGCGGAGTTGTAAAAGATGATACATCAAACTCAGTGTGTGACTGTGAGCCCTGTAACTGTGTGAGATATACCGAAAGTTATTCGAAACCGTGTAACTGTGTTCCCTGTCAATGTGAACTATGCAAGGCATCCGTACCCATGCCGCAAGCAGTAATGGTCAGTAATATGACACAGATTTACCATCAAAGTAACTGTGATTGCGATCCCTGTGAGTGTCAAAACTGCACTAGCAGTTATTCTGCGATGACATCAAATCTAATGCGCGAAGCATCGACTGGCATAATCACATATGGAAACTGTAATTGTAGAAATTGTTCGAACGATTCATGCCAATTAAACGCATCTAGTTGTAGATGTGATGTACAAAACGATGTTATGAGAAAACCTTTGGCCAAGAACAGCCCAGATTATGGCATTCATAGGGTGTATGTTAGAGAAAAACCTTATGGAAAAACTGACACCATTAAGAAACACCGCAATACAATAGCTATGTTCGCTTTATCCGATACTTATTCTAACAGATTGTTCAGTTACTCTAACCAAAATGACACATGTAATTGTGAAGAATGTGAATGCCTTGTATGCAAAGATAAAGGAAAACTTATAAATTATGATGATCAACCAAAATTTGGAATTAATATTAATAAAAAGTCCATACATTCCGGTTATTGTGTTCCGTGTCAATGCGATACATGTAAAAAATATTACGAATCAAATCCGGAAAATTTTGATGAAAACTTTAGCTTTAAATATAAATATAACACTGAAAATACTAAAAAAATTGATAAGAGCGATATTACAAAAGACGATAAACTATTTAAGAGGTCCAGGCTCACTTTTGCATCGCCAGAAGTAAATTCTTTAAACAAGTTACTCAAGAGTAACGACGTTTTGGTTAATGATGTATTCTCAAAGAAATCTGAAGATTTAGTGGAGGATGAACATTGTTATTTATTGAAAAGGGGAAAGTTATTGACGCCGTCAATTTTGAAAAAAATTGTCTTGAAACGTGGTTCCTCTCACGTACTTGTTAAACGTGAAGATAATGAGAGTCGTTTAAAAGAGAATGATAATAAGTCCAATTACTTTGTTGGACTAAATTCCTCGCTGTGTCAACAAATCAAGTTTGCTGATACGTGTAAACAGGCCGATTCTTACCATACATCTCCATCACCAAACAGTTCCAAAACGAACTCGACTTCCAAAGAAAAAGAAACAACTGAAATTTTTAAACATAATTCCCTTGATTTAATAAATTCTAATGCTTCAAATAGCGTTTGTGATGATTTAAACGATAGTATTAAAAAGGACGTATCTGATGATTTATTACATGAAAACTTAAAATTATCTAGAATGGAAGTCGATGATGCCGACACTATTATATCAAGTCAAAAACATTTGATACATTCGTATAAACCGACAAAAGAATCTTTAAATATAACTAATGTTCTTAATAATAATAAGATACATTTATCATCTCCGAAAAGCATGAGCTTAGTTCAATCCCTTTGCAAGGAAAGAAATATTAATATAAATGACAAATATACGTCAAAATACTTACGATCTATTGAAAAGTTCCCATTGAAAACATTAAAAATGGAATTTAATAGTATTTATTCAAGCGATGAAAGTCAAAGAGATATTTCTAAAAACGATAATGACGTAAATTTTGGTAAAGTAAGAAGCAAAATAAAGACACCTCAAATTAACGACAAAAATGATTCGGAGACTTTCGTATACGGAAATATTGACATAGTAAAACGTGAAACTGAAAATACAGTCCCATCGATAACTAAAAATGATTATAACTTGAAAGAAACAGAAATTGAAGATGATATATTAAAAGATACTCCTCTTAAAATAGAAAGTGACGTGAATAATTTAGACAAAGAAATCAAGGCTCAACGAATGATACCTTTAGTTAAAATAAATAAAGAAAGAAAGGCAAATAAACCTTTAAAACCGGAGCCAGAGTTAATGGTACATAATAAACAAATTAAAAATAAACGTTATCTAGAACTACCAGATCACACAGATACAGCTTCATCCGTTATAAAGTTTAACGCATTCGATAAATATATGAAATTATGCGAATCTGTTCCACTTCAAAATGTGAGTATTGTCTTAATAAAAGCTAAACTAATGAGATCTAAGAATTTCGAGAGTTTTATTTAAATGAAACTACTATTTTTCGGTTATACTACGCGACTTTATTTTTGTAAAAAACTCCATACTCCCGACGTTTCAGCTACTTTTCAGCAACCGTGATCACGGACAGACGAGATCTCGTAATAAAGTCTTGTAGTATATCAGAACAATATTAGTTTCATTTAAAGGTTAAACTAATTTGATATTACTAAATTAATTAATATTAATTTAGGATACCGAACAAAAAAATCAAGAAGATATACTTGGTAGGAAAATAGTTTACGTGAGCGCAGATGCCTTATGTAATAATCCTCTAGAACCAAATCGTAAGAATTCCCTTAAATCTGTATCACAACAAACAAGTGCTGTACCTCTATATTTTTTTGGACCTGGCCAAGGAACTAAGGCATTGGTAAATTATAGATTGTATATTCTTTTCTTCTGTTTTTATATATTAATAGTATTGCTGCCCAATTTCAAAACACGAAAAGTGACTAACATCTCAATCTATTACAACGAAATATGAGATTTTGTCCCATATCGTGTTCTGGAATTCGGCAGTCCAAGAAAACCAATTAATATTTAATATCGTAGAACAAACTTCAGATTGAAGTAAACGATTTGCTGAATTCTCCTATATTACAATCCAAAAATACGATTGACCAATTAAAGAGATCATGGAATGAGGTAACGATAATACTAATTAGACCTTATATAGTTATGTATTGTAATAATAATCTTGTAATTTCTATAGAGTAATAAGACTTTGAAGACAGTCAGTAGAATGAATGACGCAACATCACAAACTCAACGGCTTAAGATTGCTGTTGATAAGGAAGTTGACTGCAATTTACTAATATCAGCGGTAGAAAACTATTCTTTATATACTAACGATTTAAAAATTACTCTTACAAAAAGTATAAATACAAAGGAATATTAAATCTTGAAAAAAATACAAGTTAGCAAAAAACATGTGATGGTTAAAATGGTTGCATTGCTCATAATTGTAGTTTTTTGTTTAAATAATAGGACTCAAATAGTGATTTCGTGAACTATCTTATGGAATATATTAAATATGTTAATATATTTATAATTTCAGGAGAATATAAAACCAAATAACGAGAAAGTAGATAATACTATGTTAACCAAAAGAGGCAAACGTTTATCTTTTGATCAAAAGGACCAAAATTCGAAGGCAAATTCTGTTGTAATGGATTCTAATGTAAGTGTTATATATATTTATGTATTTTGCTTCATTTATTTCAATTTCAACTTATACTTTTGCTTGCCTACATGTATATTACAAAACAAAATCACATTGAAAACATTTTGAAATCACTTTTTATTATACAATTTTAATTTATATGAACAGTGATGTGGTTTTAAAATTATGACTCTCAATAGAATGATCTCATTTTTGCTTCCCTATTGTTCTAAATCGCGAGTAATACTTTGAATAGAATGTTTCGTTTTTCTACTCATTTTGAATATTAATTCATATTTATCATTACAAATGCACTTATCCTTAATTAGAAAGTGACAGGATATGTGATTAAAGAAAATTATTTGCCTGGTCTCTTAGTCGTATTATATAATAATAATAATATCTTTCATAGGAAACAGAGAGGACTGCCGATGGCCTTAAAGCTACTTTTGTATTTTTGAGGAAGGTTTCAGATCACACAGTACTCCTTAGATGGATGATCCCGCGGGACGTGAAGGAAGTCGAGGGTTACGAGGTTTGAATGAATTTGTACTAGGAAATGTATAATAAAAAAAAACTATACGTCTATACTTTGAAAACCATTTTTAGTGAGAGAGAAACGGAGACATTTTCTTCCCAATTTTTGCCACTTTTTCCTCAGTAGTAGCTTGAGTGGAAGAGTAGTTTTAAATTACAATTCTGTTATTACCTTTATTTGCTTATTTTTCCCCCAGAATAATTTTACAGGCGTTAGGAACTATTGCTATTCTATTGACTTTGTTTGATTTTCAACTTGATGAGGTTTTTGCTTACTCTCTAGAATATATCAAAAAACCTTAAACTTCGATATTATCTTCAGCTACAAGTCGACGGTCGTCCGGTCAAGAAAATACTCAATCCTTCTAGGTGTATGGCCGTACTAACCTGTCTGCCTCACTGCGAGAAACTCCTGCTAACTATACGTACTATAACAAAACACCAAAACAAACATAACCCGGTCACTACGGTTATTTATCGTGCAAAAAAAGTTAGATCTGGCATATTATAATATTGGTAACTTTGAAGATTGTTTTATTGTATACATTTAGAGAAAAAAATACGAAAAGGCTTATCCATTTTGGACTGAATCGCTTTTATACGTTAAGGGCACGCATGTTTGTCTTTTTGAGTCATACGAATATAACGTAATAAAACGATTCAAATAAATACATTCATAACGTTGATTAGTGTCTATCTCAAGAAATACTTCATAGCTATAATGTATAACACATAATTTAAAGTGCAATGTTTTTGTGCAAAAAATATACGTACAATGACAAAAAACCTTGGATCAACGGCTAAAAGTTGCCACTATTGTATTGAGTTTAAATCATAAATATATAATTTTATGATTACACAAATATTTTCTCTATAATGCTATTTTTATATAAGAAGTGTAAAACAAATTAATACGGAATTATATTCTTTTAAGACTATACTTCATTTTTCTTAAACATCGTTTATTATTTTAAATTAAGCAATAAATATTTACACAATGTAAATAGTCTTAAAACAGCTCTCAGCTCCCGAAAAATCGTCTGGTTTCCTTGAAACAAACATGATTTACATTTCAGCACTCTCCTAGCACTATCAAAACTGCAGGGCCAACAGCAATACTCAATACAAAGTAATAAATATATAATAATGATACATCATAAAATGTACGCTACCACTCTTTTGTGTAGACTTTTTCTGACTCAACTACATAGAGCACAATCATAGAATGGTTTATTAGTATTAAATACAGAATATTGGAGAACCACAATCTAATACAAGAGACGAATACAACTCTGCTTACATTTGGTCATTTTGCTCATACTCTTTTACAAGGTTTATTTTGAACTAGAACGACCATTCCCACAATCTATAAAAATAAAAAAGGGTTCTATATTCTCTTATTTCCATATTCCCTGAGGAATAGTGCAATACAAAGAAACAATTATGATATTAAAGTCTTCAAGTGTAGGTAAAGAGGTATGCTTACTATTGTCTTGGTAGCCTAATATGAAGACATCTGTTAGTGCCATTGAATTTTATAAGTTGTAATGGTTCAATTATTGTCTGTTAGTTTCCATTCGTTTCTCTATAGGGTCTTATTATGTTAACATCGAAATCGATTCCTTATTCTATATCTCAAGTAGCTAACTATTTTTAGTTCCGCAATAGTTTCTTAGGAATGGAAAAAATTGGTTGTCATATTTGCTTAAATGTATCACAAATTAACGAGTACAAACAATAATAAAAAGCATGCAAATACATAAAAAAAAAGTACGAACACTTCAGCAAAATATTTCACAAGTTTTTTCCTTAAGAAACTATTATATTTAAAGCAACAATGAAAATAGAGTAGACATTTCTTAATACAATACAAGTACCTATTGATTCACGTACCGTTTAAGTTTACCATCGAATTCATAGGAAAACACTTAATAACTATACTGAATTTTAGTTTAAAACAAAATGGGTAACCATCTTAATATTTTTACTCAGAATTATCGATGGCATATAATAATATTAAAACAAAAAAATATTTGACATACTTCATATAAGTACATGAAACGTAATTAAAGTCAGAACTTTTCGGAACGTTTTTAACCAAAGTAAATTCAAATGATGTAAACTAGGCTCTTCTTTACTGTGCAATGCGTACTGCACAATGAATAACCAAATGGAGTGTAGTCGACCGTTAAAAAGGAAAGATATAGACGTTAAAACAAGGGGTAATATAATAAATCGCTCTCGGGTAGGAGATGGGACATATCAGCGGAATAAAATAAATTTATTAAAATCAGACAAATATATTCCAAATACATGTAGGCACGTAAGTTCTGTGAAGAAAGAAATTGAACGATTAACGGAAATTGATAATCATGTATGTTTTAAACAAATGAAACCTAATGTTGAAACTATGTACTGTTACGATAGGACATAGTATATAAAAATCTTCTGTTCCAAATAGACAAAGTTTTATATTTTCAGGATAGCGAGTCAGCTAAACAACAGTTTGATTTCTATGCTGTCAATCGTAATAACAAAAAAGGAGAAGTCAAAAATAAATTTTGCAATAAAACAACTAAGGTCGACGTTAGCTCGCAGTACGCAATACGACCGAAAACTCCGTCCTATATAAAAACATTTGACGGGTCCAAATGGCAAAACGTAGACAATACATTTGAGTTGGAACAGTATTTGGAAGCAGAGAAAGAAGGTATGTATCAAACTAATTCTTTGGGGAGAATGCCATTTTGAGAATATAAATAATATGATTATTCTAGGCGCGTTTACATCAAATTACAATTCTTCAAACAAAATTCGCATTTCCCAAATGCCTCGTGTCAAAGTTATCGCTGAAAAATTTCCCAAGAAGGATAATGTCAAATCAAGAAAATTGGAAGAGAAAATTGTTTGCTTAGAGTACGATGTATTTACAAGTGACCATCATTACGCGAAACCAACACAAACAATGAAGGTGTATTTTTCTGTCAAACCAGTAATAAAGGATGAAGGTAAACAATAATTACGTTACTTTCACACTTGTTTTGTTTTGTTTTCTAATTTTGGTGTCGTTGTCTTTGCGACTATTTTTATTACCAGGGTCTTAAATTAAATGGATACACCTCTTCATTAATTTTAATAATTTTTTTTATGGCACCATCTCAGAAGTAGTGACCTACAGAACAAAAATTAATCGTGAAAGTGTATAAATATTTAAAAAAAATCATACTAATTCGCTTGACTATATAAGTATTTTATTTTTTATTTTAATGTATCGAATAATTGTTTAATGAATAAATAATCTTCCACAGAAAATATTCCAATATTACCAACATCCAGAAAGAAACATTTCAATGTCGCTAACGAGGATTTTAATACATTAAATGAAACAGACGTCGACATTATTGATGCTAAAGTTGCAAAAAATAAATCTTATTTGGACATCCTGGAAAATATTCTTATAAGAAAACAAAAGATTTACACTAATAAAAAAAAGAGCACTTTAGATCTCATGTCGTTGTATCAAATGGCTAAAAGTAACATTCCATTGTTTGACGAAAACTTCTCAAATAAATATTAGCTGTATTTGAAAGTAATGAAGGGGAAATGTGTTTGTAGTAACCGCTCGTTAAATGTTATGTACCTAATAAATCATGTCAATAAATTATTTGCATGGAATATGGTAATATTTTTTAACAAATAGATCTGGAAAACATTTTTTTTTATGTTTACAGAATAACTACATTTTTTCATTTAAGTAATACCTAGTATAGTTTTTTTATAAAAAATGTTAAAATGTCTTCCGAGTCCTGTTTACTTATCTACTAAGTCCTTATTGTTCTGGTCTTTTTATTTATCTACTATGTTTTTATGTTTTTATTATTTAAAAACAATATTTTCATTTGCATTACGAAATAGCGTTATTTTGTTTTAAACAGTACTTATAGCAAATGCATTAATTTTTAAGTTCAGTAATCAGCTCTAAGACGAATTCAATAAAAAAAATTAAGATTAAATAAAACATTAAAATTCTGATTTGATCTCAAGCATAATCTTCGAAAATATTTTTTTCTTGATAAACCTACTTCTTGTGAGATTTTATTAAATTATACGTGGCACAAAATAAAACACGAAAAAAAAGAATTCCTGCAAACGTCATAAATCAGAAATATTGACAGTCAAAACATTTGGAAACTTTGGTAACTGAAGTAAATTTAAAATGGTGTAAACTTAATTCTTCTTAAACATACAATGTGTTCTGCACAATGAATCGCAATCAACGCAAATATGGTCGACCAGTGAAAAGGGAAGAAGTTGATCTTAAACCAAAAGGGAATAAATTAGTTAGTCCAGAGATAGAAGAAGTGTTGCCTCCGCGTAATAAAAGAAATTCATTCAAAGCGGACAAATTTATGAAAAATCGATGCTGTCACATAAGTCCTGCGCAAAAAGATGTTGAACAATTAACAGAAATTGATGACAACGTACTTACTTTTTTAATAATAAATTTTAACCTTTTTTTCCTATAGTACAGATAGCTTTATTCAAATGATATTTTGTGCTTACACTAATAAACGTAATAAACTTTTCAGTTCCACGATTTAGTTAAACAACAATATGATTTCGATACTATCATTCCTGAAACTATAAAGCAGGAAATCGAAAGTGAATTCTGTAGTGCAACAAATAAGGTCGACAACAGTTCGCAGTATGTAAGGCAAGAATACTGTCCGTCTTATGTAGAAACATTAGACGGGTCCCAATGGCAAAATATAGACAACGCATATGAATTGGAACAGTTTTTGGACGCAGAGAAAGAAGGTTCTAATAAAGTTTTATCAGATAAGCTTTGTCCAAGTCTAAAATGTTTAAAAATAATATTAATTTACAGAAGTGTTTACATCGAACTTGTATTCGGAAAAAAAGATTCATATTTCTGAAGCGCCGCGTGTGAAAGTTATAGCGGAGAAATTCGCCAAGTACCAAAAAGACAACGTCGAGTTAAGAAAATTGGAAGAAAAAATTGTGTGTTTAGAATACGATGTATATACAAGTGATCACCACTACTCAAAACCATCTCAAAAAATGAAGGCGTATTTTTCTGTTAAACCAATAATGATATGTGATAAAGGTAACATCATCATACTTTAAGCTATCAGTTATTTTTAGAGCCCCCATTTTTCACCTACTGAAAAACCACTACAACTTATCGTAGCTAAATGAAATTGCTCCCCCACTTATATTTTGGGTCACTTTCTGCAACCCCTCTATTTCCATAGGCCTGCAGCGCTCACAAAGGAGCGTTATCGCCCGATTTGGGAAAAGCTATTTTATGCATAATTCCTTGTTTAGGTGTAAATAGTTTTATGAGATCTAAGGCTTTCAAGATTACTTATTTAAATAAAACGAATATACTCGGAGTTCTACTGTTGTAATCCGAAAATATTAGTATTATTTAAGTAAATCGTAATATCACAAACAGGTGATAAAAGTAATGTTTTAATTCTCAGAAAAAGTGAAAATGTTGCCAGCGTCCGTAAAAAATAAATTTAACATTTCTGAAGATGACCTAAACAAATTAAATGAGAAGGAAGTCGAGATTATTGATGCAAAGATCTCGGAGAACAAGTCATATTTGGACGACCTCAAGAAAGTCCTTAAAAGGAAGCAAGCTATTTACGCTAAAAAACAGAAAACTACTTTGGATCTCATGTCGTTGTACGAAATGGCTAAACGGGAGACTCCAGTTTTTGACGAGGACTTCTCAAATACAAATTTACTGTCGAAAGCGGAATTGGAAGAAATTAAAGATTTAATAACAAAAAAATGCGCGTCTAGCATACACGGCATAAGCAGACGAACTGTCAAATGTGACGCGAAAAAAAATGACAACATAAACGTCATATCACAATCTATTTTCGCGGAACTTCATAGAAATGATTAGAAAAAAAAAAGAAACAGCGTATATATATTTTAATTTAAAAGAGGATGTATATAAAATATTTTTGTATCTTGTACTTATAAGTAGTATAAAATTCTATCCTGTCTTTTCAGTCTCCGGGTTAAGACCAGGATCGAGCCCCAATTTCTTCATCTCTACAGCCATTTCAAACAAATAGTCGTAACATTCCGTCCTGTAATTTACAAAAATATTTAAAAATATCACTAATGTGTGTTATACTTGTCAAACTAAAAATATTTATAATTAATGTAGTGAATTATACCATTGATGATTCGGGGAGATTTTTTAATTAGTCATATTAAATTGTTAATAATAAACGAACTATTATTATTATGTGTTAAATTCTTATATAAATGGGTCAATATTTACATAGTTTTAGCCTGCTGCCATGTTTCTCCCCATACATAAACTCCATGCCGTCTTACAAGTACTGCACTTGTTCCTGGATATTGTATTAATGCTTTATTTAAATCTTCTGCCAAATCCCTTTCAAACGGTGTATTTTCTATAATAGGAACAATCAGTTTTTCATCATAGCGAAGATAACGATTCAAACTTTCATCCTTTATACCCTGAAATTATAAATGCACATTATTTGTGTGTGATATATTAATAAACAGTTTTATTTATAAACATACTAGCTTTCCGCCCGCAGCTTCGCCCGTGTGGAGTTCGGTTATATCGCGTTTCCAAGAGAACCTTTCAAAAGTCTGGGATAAAAACTATCCTATGTTCTTTTTTAAGGTCAACTCTATCTCTGTACCAAATTTTATTAAAATCAGTTCAGTGATTTAGGCGTGAAAGCGTAACAGACAGACAGACAAAGTTACTTTCGCATTTATAATATTAGTAGGGATGATACAGAGTCATATATTAATTATTATTTAGACATTTAAGAATATGAATTTATATAGTTTATTTTGGTTTAGTACAAACATCAACACTTTTACATATAATAGAATCATATTTAACCACTTCATTTACTAACTAAAGTGAAATAAAAAAATATTTTATTAAATAACATAAGTTACCCTACCTGATACTTAGATCATCAATATTGAATACAAGAATTCATATATATATATATAAAAATTTCGTGCCACATGTTTGTCCGCTATGGACTCTTAAACTACTAAACCGATTTTAAATTTGATTTGAATTCCGTGTGCATTTTGATCCAACTTAAAAGATAGGATAGCTTACATCTCAATGTATAGTCACAATATTATTTTATTGCAAATTATTTGCCTATTAAAGAAAATTACTTATCATTATTACAATTATCTCTTCACTGAGTTAAGTATTTAATAGAGGGCGCTATGTTAAAAATACAAACGTCATATATGAGAGACTATTTAATAATATTAATAGCATAACCACCACGTGTTTCTGAGGCTAAGGTATAAACTAAATTAATTTATTAAAAAAACGTAACAGATATTTCTTGATTATAGGGCGATACGAAGTTCGCCGAGTCTTCTAGTATGTATATATAGATATATCTAAGAAATGTTTTACCTTAATCATTTCCTGGTGTGTTATAACAAATTCCTTGTCATATAGTAGAGTACACCTCACAGCATGCGGTGAATGTGTGTGTATGACGGCACCGGCATTACGTAGTGTGTACGCTAGCATGAACAATGGAGTGCATTGACTTTTCTTTAGTCTGGAAAATATAATTTTTATGTGCTGAAATTCACGTACATACATAAGTACATAGAATTTATATAACATATACTAAGAGAAACCAACAAAATATATTTTTCAGATTTACTATGCATTTGTAATTATCTTTCTACATACTGGTTGTTTTGGTTGTTTTGCAGCAACTATCATCACTACCAAGTTTAAAAATATTAGTTTCTTTCAATAAATACTCGCAAAAGAGTTAAAACTCATTAATAGTAATAGAATTTATATTGACTTTACTTCTTATCTGGTGAAGGTAATTCCAAATCTTGACCGTGAATATTCTGCACAAACAAGTCATCTGGTTTCATTCTTTCTTTCTGCACACCTGATGGTGCTATGAATATTTCATCTCTGTAATATCAAACACACAATAATAAAACTATTTGAACCATTTTCTTAAAGTATCCATAACTTAGATATTCCATGATGTTTTTTGTTTTAAAATAATAAGATGTGATATGGTTAAACATTGTCTGGAAACAAGGATTAGCACCTGGTTTGAATATACTGAAAACTTTAACACAATATTTATTGGAAAATTTTTATGATAATAATTTATCCTAGTGATAGTCATAATTTAATTACAATCTAATACAATAAATATAGTCATTGAGATGATAGTAACACAACTTATTTAAATCGTAGTTTAACTCTCAAACTCAGCTAAGCTATTTCATCCAGGCCGTACTGTGGCCAGGCTCGGAGTAGAAGTAGGAACGAGGAGTTTTTAGTCAGTAGAAGTCTGACACTACCTTTTACCCCACCCAGGACAAGAGCTGTCATGTGATAAGCCCGTTCATACATAACTTAGTATACAAAAGCAATATGATTTGGTAAACTAAGACATTAACATTGTTTTATCCTTATAATAAATACTAATTATTCTTTTTACCCTCGTTTGATAGATATTCCACCTCCGGTTCCAGTGACCCATCCCAAATGATAAAACTGCTTACACAACTCCGGTATTAAACGTCTGGGATGTTCCTGGAAACAATTAATAGATTTCTTAGTGTTTTCGAACTAAAAACTATATATATTGGTGTCAATTACACCATCAATATGTTTTTGATTTTGAATAATGAGGTTTTAATGATAAAATATTAAATTTTATTAATAAATATTAAACATTTGCTCACCGGATCTAATTCAGCCATTTTATTATTTTAAGTACAGCTGCTGTATGTTAGTTAAAGCTGTGACCTTTATGGTTTTGCTTATCAATGTACCGACAATTTGAATATTATTTGATAAAAATAAGTAAACATCATAATTAAGACGACACGGTTTATTTATAAAGTAGAATGTCAAAATCAAACCAGTCATGTCAAAATGACGTGTGAGTATCGTTTAGAAATACACCTAACAGTCTTCATGATATGAAAAAATTAAAGCACATAGTTAATAAAACTATTAAGTAGTCATACTGGCCACTAAAAATCTATTCTGCGTAGAACAGATAGAATAATTTATTTCAATATGGTCATTTCAGACAAGCAAACAAAATTTTTGGAGCCGACATAATAATAACATTGAAATAAAATTTTGTGATCAAAGACCATGATAGATATAAAATTAGATAAAACAAAATAAAAAAAAAACAAGAAGAATTACAATATTAGTAAGTAAAACACAATATTTATTTTTATTGGTTTTAACCACCTTAAGGTAGCACGATATGTTTTATAACCAATAGAGCTAAAATATTTCTTAAAGGGTTAGACGAACACATTTTTTTATTTATTCATATTTTATTTTGAAAGTGTTTAACCTTAATAGAAAAAATACCCCTTGTTAACAATTTTCTAACGCGCTATTTGCAATTTATTTATATATTTTTAAGACCCCTTTCTATAAAGTTACAAAGTGAAGGTATTACATAAAAACTACTTTTGGTTTAAAATATTAATTAATAAATGAATACACTTTCAGTTACTATGCACGAGATACCAGAATGCCTAAAACGACGCTACAAGGCGTTGGATGAATTAATTAAAGATCTCAGTACATATGGTGCAACCCATCCTGATCTCAATGCTTCATCCGAGGATCCAGAAATTAAGCTCATGTGTGAATTTTGGAATATTCTGAAAGAAGATCCAGATGTTAATTTAAAGGTTTAAATATGTACTTATAGCATCTTTATTTTAAAATTTACACATTATATTTTTAATGGGATAAATTAATATAATATATATTCAGTGAAAGAGAATTTTATCCTATTAAGAAACTTAAAATATTAGGTTTTATGACACAAGGAAAATATTGTGACTTCAATGAAATGGGTTTTGTTCCTAGTTGCTATGACAGGGCAACGAACTTGAGGAGTGCATGCTGTAACTAATAATTTATGTATGAAGTAGCGTAACTAGACATCCGAGGATTCTCGTTGTCTTAGGACAGTCATGTTTTTACAATTAGGAATTGCCTTAACAACAATATTTCTATAAACTACTATACAAAATTGCAATAAAAATTTCATACGAAGGAATAAAATTAACGTGTAAACTGCTACACAGTGCCGGCGTTAGAGGGACTGACACCCTGGGCAAGAATATTTTGGCGCCCACTTGAAGAAATCAAAATCGAGTATTAATTTTTTTTCTGAACCAGTGTGAACACTGAATGTGTATTAAAAATTCTATATTCCATCTATCATCTTCCATCTTTCCTTTAGCAAGTTCCACTTTTCCTTTAGAAAGTTATTAGCTCCTACTTTTTTTTTTTCATTTATAAGTATCCTACCTCCACTATTCGCCCCCTAAATTTGGCGCCCTGGGCCACCGCCCCATCGCGCCCCCCCCCTTTACGCCGGCACTGCTGCTACAGTATATTAGATAGTGACCAAATTAACTACACTGTTTAGACATACTAAGCTGTGAATTGCAGCAAGCTGTCCAACAACGCATGGGCCTCAACTCTAATAGCAGTGGTTTGTTTGGGAAAGGATTTGAATGTTACATGGCTGGGTGTTGTCAGAAGAATAGTTCAAAGAAACAAGAAAAACCAGAACCTCCAAAGCCCAGAACGTAAGATTTGACATAAAGAATAGATAATTCTAAAGTATTTATTTAGACTTTGATTTAGACCTCAACATTGGAACAAATTTATTTTATATTCTAGGAATTTACTTCTAGGAATCTCTTTTACAATTTTCATCTAAAAATATTATTGGTCGAATCATGATTATCAAACGTGTCTTTAACCCGGCGCCAATGACGCTGGGTCATATTGACCCGAGACGTTTTTTAACGAACATATTTTGTTTACCCGGGTTATGTGGTTTAAGCGTTTGAGTAGCTGAAGCGATACCTCCCCGCTATCCGCCCCGATGGTTCGCTCAGGGCGACGCCGCCCGCGCAACGAGCAACAAGTTCATCAAGTTCAATCGGGTAAGTTTGACCCAGCGTCATTGTAAATGTAATATTTTCGTGACATACTTTTTTTTTCTATTTATTGATTTTATATTTATTTTTTGTGTTCTTTAATAAGTTTTCTGAAGAAAATGGCACTGACAAATGATCCGCGGAGAATATTGGAAATATTGGAAGAGTCAGATGAAGACCAGTCAAATTCTGCTTCGGACGCCGACGTTGAAGACCATTTATCGGAACGAAGTAACGACAGCGGCATCGAGCAACAAGTTAGTGATTCTGATGCGGAATCTTATTCATCAAGCAATTTGGACCTTTTGACATTACAAAGTCAACAAAATCGGCGTGTGTTCAAAGGAAGAGATGGAAATTTATATATACCCTGATCATTTGATTACCTACTGCAATATTTGTAGTAGTTCGACGTCAGTAAATGAGGAAAAAGAAGACTGATTGGTATTTATAATTAAAAATAACTTAATTTGATCTCATTTTTAGCATTATAAGATGTTTGTTACCAATGATTATTAACATTACTTAAACCAAAAATTATAATTAAATTATGTTGTTTGTTCAAAGTTGATTTTGCACGTCTTGTTGAGTATGTCAATAAAAGTTTAATTACTATATATATATATTAGTTTTATTTTTATTTATTTTTATTCATAAAATACTTTTCTTTAGTGAACATTAATATATATATTAATTACAATTTAGTAAAAGAATATATTTTTTATTATAAATCCTCAATAAAACGTCGGGTCAAAATGACCCAACGTCATCGTTCTTGCAACTTTTTTCACGTCATTGGCGCCGGGTTAATGAGATCTTAGAATTTTACGAATATTCATATAAACGAAACCAGTATTTTCGCATTTCTATGCGTTTCGTTTACTTGCCTGATGAAGTAGCCTGTGTACAAACGCGTAGTAATGTGGCCTTATGTCAGTGGTGGCCTAGTGGTTAAAGAGCCCGCCCCTTGTTGGCGAGGGTGCGGGTTCGAGCCTGGCCCAGGGAGTACCAATGTGATTTTTCCAAGTCATATGCACTTTCTAAGAGTATTTAGACATCACTGATTAATGCATTCCCAAAGAGGGTTGATGTCAGACAGATATACGGTCGTAAAAAACAATTAGCCAAAACTATTTACAACATGTAAGGCAGACCCTGGCTAAAGCTAGGAAATTGCCAGGTAGAAGAAGAAAAAGAAGAAACGCGTAGTATTGAGTAAATATTAATTTCATTTAAACGTCTTTAATTCCAATTTCAGTGTCCCCGTTCATAGTTGTAAAAGTGGTTCCGAAGGTGCTAGAACTCCGCAAAAGGGGTTGTTGACTAGCAAAGATTCAACGAGGATTTCATCGCCCAAGCCAGAAGAACCATTGCACAAAGTTCTTTGTAACTTGAAAGAGGTAAAACATTATAAAACTAGCATTACGATTAGTTGAAAATAATCAATAAATTATGTACCATGTAGGTATGTTATGTACCATGAAGATAATAAAAAATATTCTCTGAATTGTAATCATTGTTTTAGTCTGAACTTACAATAAGTGCTATATTTTACTTTAAAGGCTGCTTCATTCGAAAAGAAATGTCAAGGAAAAGTTAACGAATTGTTGGACAATCAAAAGCAGTTACAGGAGCAAATAACAGGTTTGGAACAAAAAGAACGGGATGGAGCCCAACTATTGAAACAAGCGGATTGTATGTGGGCTTGTATGGAGGAATCATATAAACGAAAGATAGCTGAGTCACTAGAACGGCAAAAGGGGCTATTGAAACAGGTTTAAAATGATTTTTAATTATTACCAAAAAGAAAATTTTAATACAATATTATAATAATCGTAAATATACAATAAATAAAATAACAAAAAGTCTGACAAAAGATTAAATATTGAGAGGTATTAATAATTCTCGACATATGTATTTCGTATGATAAAGTAAAATATAAAAAAAGTTATTGAATAATTTTTTTTTTTCAATTTCAGCTAAAAGAAGTAGAGGCTAGCAACAAAAAGTGGCGAAACAACAAGAAGGATCTGGATTTTCAACTGAATAATATAACTAAATGTCACCAGGAAATTGTTGAACAGATTAACGAAAAAACCAATGACGTGAAATGTATTGAAATGGAAATAGAGAGTTTCAAAAACCGCATAGAAAGTGATAAGAAAGATCTGGATATCGCACAAAAGTCTATGATTAACAAGAAGAAGGCCTCTGATGTAATTTTCAGTCTTTTCTTGCAACAAAATAACTTTTCTGGTCTTAAAATGTATACTTTAAATTATATAACAAGCATTAAGATACTGACGCAGTGAAATTAAATTTAAATTGCAATTTAAGGGTAGACTGGCGACCATAGCATTACAAGTCACAAAATTGGAAAATGTTTTGAAAGAGGAGAAAAAAATTAAGGAAGCAAAAGAGGCGGAGGGAAGAGAATATATAAAGGAGGCAAGAAACGATTTACAGAAACTCTGCAAGGTGTTGCTGCAGAAGAAACTTGAGAATGAAGACATGAAAGCGGAAGTAAGTCAATAGTTCTATAATATTAGATAAAAATTATTATTTTCATCTCGAGACGAAACCTCTTAGCATTCAACGTATTCACCGTGCGTGTGTCGGGTCCATCGTTGCAGGGAGAGGAGCTTCAATAGTGACTGGGACTTGCGACCCAGGTGTAGGTTTAGGCCCCTATCTAACGCGCATTATAGCTATAACATACTATAAATACAAAAAAAAAACACGGGCTATAATATGAATCAAAGAACCATATAAAACATCGTCCTAATATTTCTGTGGTACGTTTTGTACACATGGAACTTTTTGTACATCTTGTATAAGTTGATCAATCATTCCTAATGTCAAAGACACAATCGGTGTTCACCTTGATAGCTCGTTAGGCACCTTTGCTAAATTACGTCAGAAAACTACAGACAATAAACATTATTTATATGTATTTTTACTGTAATGTGAACGAGTTACCGACTATTTTTACCGAGTAATCGTATGACAGAATGGTACTTAATTTGTGATATTAATTTAATTATAAGTAAAATAAACCTTCCCTGAAACTCGTGGTTTTGATAGATAAAAATGATTTCCGTCAAAGAATTTCGTGTACTTCAAACAGTATTTATAATGAGGTGGAACAAAAAAATAATATGATAATAAGTATACACTTGTTTATTTATAGAAAAAGTTATACGTTTATATGTATATTGTCTTGTCACACACCATAACTTTTACATTAATAATAAAGTTTTAAATTTTAACAAAATTAACATTCCTGTTGATATTCGGGGAAATTCATATGCTGTTATACATAGTTTTGTTGCTTTAGTAATCATTCTAAGAATTCTTCATATTTTAAAGTTATTCGTATAATTTTAATGTAATATTAATTTATGTTCAAGAATAAGAAAATCCGTAACTGTATGAAATAGCGACAAGAACTTTCAGTAAACTTAATACACGTTTCCATTGTCATTCAACATACGCATACTTTACCGTCTTCTTAGTAAATCTAAGCAGATGATTGAATAAACGTCGTTTCTTTATTGTACTCATAGATAATAATGCAAACTTTTGTTAAGAATACACGCTTTAGCACAAGTTGCAACGTGACGATACTTACGAAACTTCCCGTTTGTCATTTAATAATCCACGTTAATACTATAATATGCAAAGAATTATAATAGAAAACCTTAACTATGCAATTTTAGGGTAAGAATCCAAATATTTTTCGTCATAAACCAAGAGTATACAGAGTAAAACGTTTGGAGAACTACATATGAAAAGAATACACTGGTATTTTTCCATCAAACGATATTATCTGTAACAAGGGACATATATAAGGGAAGTAAGAAAGGGGAAAATTATAATCAAATATTTTGCTTTTGTTATACCACCTGCCTTACCTTGCTCTCTTCTCAAACTAGAGTTATATTGGTTACATCTGTAACAATATTATTATTTTTACTAAAGCACCGTTGTAACTCATTAGCTTAGTTCATACGTGTATATTCGTAGAATAAATTTCATACATACTTTTACTGAAAAAAGGTGAAATATATTGCAAATTTTTTGATAATATTGCACCAATGTCCTATCCTAGATGTAAGTTACTTTTACTCGTAATTTCTGACATACTGGTTTTAGCTGCAGTGCGGATTAATTTACTAAGAAATAACTGGCAAATAAGTGGCGCGGTTTACATTGATTAATTTATGTAGACTTAAAAATATTTTTATTATTTAAAGGATATAGCATTCGAAAATTGTTCCAGTTTGCATGTGCATTTTCTAAGAAAAAGAGATTGGTGGTACAAAAATGTTAAGTTGTTTCTTTTGTAACATATTTCCAAAATTACCTTTTATAATCTTTTATAAATATTAAAAAAATATATAAAAGATTAAAAATATAAAATATTGTGACTATAACATTTAATGAAATAGAAAACAACGTCTTTTATCTTTTATTTTCTTTCATTTAACAATGCACTGTAAAGTCCTGACAGTGATGTTTTTTAGACGTCAGATTAAAATGTTTTAAGAAAAATAGTCCCATCATGACAAAAATTGTGAAAGAAGAAAGATAACTGTTTTCCTTTTCTTTAACAATTTGTTATTACTTCTCAAAAACCCTTTTTTATTTAGTCACAAAATAATTTGATACGAGGCTTCATTTTTTATCAAGCTTATTGATACTTTATTTTATAATTCCTTTCTTGTTTTGTCTATTTGTGTGCAACTGTATGTGACATCGTGTCTCTGAAATGGATCAAGCGATTTCGATGAGTTTTATTTAAATTTCGTAGCCATTCCTTGTGGTGGTTCTCTGCTATGTTTGGTTAATATCGGGCAAGTAAAGTATCAGCTGTTTTCCGGAATGATGTAATTAATATTTGGCCTGTGATTACTATATTAGAGAGCTGACGCGTACCAGTTGTAGCATTACATAAATGACAATTTTCATATGAATTCATTTTTTCCTATTAAATAATAATATAAGTTCCTACAGGTAAGATTATTAAAAATTTTGTAATAAGTAATAAAATCGAACTATTTACTCCAAACTTTTGAGATAAATTCCTAATAATTACTTTTGAATATCGTTTGAAAAGTTATTATTTATTATATTATTATTAGGGATTTTCTGATGACAAATCCTGTAATAATACAATGGAAGAGAAAAAGAATTTTCTCTTCAACGCATCCGTTTAAAGTGCATATGATTTCGTCTGTATTATAAGAGAAAAATATTAAGTATTCAACGTGCTTTATTTCAGAAAGAAGCGCTGCTGTTGGAAATCGAAATGCTTAAACAAACATGCGATCAATGCAGAGAGAAGTGCAAGAATAAGCAGGAGTCTTTAATAGAAGAGATTAAAACAATAGATAAAGAGATAGCTGAATTCAAAGTCCGTTGTCTAAGATGTCACCAATGTGTGGATACCGTTGACGTTAGGAGTCTATGTACGGATTGTCCGAGATGTTTGAATGAAAGGGAATGTTTGGTTGATGGGGATCACTGTAGTCCAGATCACACAATGGATTGTGTCTGCGCTACCGTGAAGCAGAAGTTTTTGGATAACGTCTTCGATAACATGTACACGTTGTTGGAGAGGCAAATTAAAACTGGGCCGGGGAAAGCGGTGGCCGAAGCGGTAATGGATTGTCTGAAAAAGAGCAAGAACGGCAAAATTAATGATCAGACTAAAAAGATTTTGCAAGACTTTATTTTGACGACCGTGAAGAAGAATCTTAAGTTGACGATAATAGGTGGAGCTGTTAAAACCAGATGTGAGGTAACTCATTTTATAAGTATTTTAAATTCTATAAAATATGATATGGTATAAAGTGTAAACATTTTGAAAAAATTAATACATTTACAATTTAATATAATGTTATTGTGTGTAACAAATAGATTTTGGCTAGTTTTGATTTCGCGAAGTTAAAAAAGAGAAATGTTAATTATCTACGTGGTTCTTTCAGATGGACCCAGAGACTTACAAACAGTTAATGTTATGTCTAAAGGAAGTAAAGGTCACCAAGCCAGCAAAAGCCGACAAAGGGACGGATTCTAAAAAGGTAAGTTTAACATCAAACAAATTTTTCTTGCGCTTAATGTGTTGTGATGATATTAAACTTTTTTTATAAATCTAAATTTAAGTGGAAGTTGTAAAGCTATTTTTATATGTTTTCACCGTTGAATGAGCGCGTTGAAGAAAATTAATAACGAGGTCCTCAATATATAAAGATAATGTAGGGAAAGGATTTGGAATTTAAAAATAGTCAAACTAAATAGGTTGTATTAGTGAAGGTGGTAAAACCTTCGTGCAATAAATAGATAGCAGTCGAGCTGTAATTTGGCAGGTCTATCGAGGATGTTACTAATCTTTAAATTTGCATTTGGCTTTTGTTGTGATTATATATTGATTTATTCGAACATTTTCAAAATACTTTTCTCCTACGTAGGAGAGAATAAGAACTGTAAAAGAACAAAGGACGTCCTTATAATCGTAACAAACTTTATAAAACACAGTTACCCGTCGCTTTCGATAGTGACCGAATTCTTATTAATTTATCCACTCTATCGGTTTTAATAAAAACATTTAAAAAACAATACATTCTAATATCCTAAAACGAAAACAACAGAAATAAAGTATTTTATCTTTTTCAACCTACTATTCACTTCATCACAATTTATGACATATTAAAAGTTGTCGCAATATCCTTGTATATTTTATTTACTTTGAGTTATTCGTAAAAATCTTTTGAAATGATACCCATATCGTAGGAGACTGCATTATACATAGAGCCAACATGTCGGATGTGCCATGTTGGTTTGAGTATGTCATACGAATTATATTTCTATACAAAATTTCAGGTTCATTGATCGATATGCTTCAAAATTTATTTCTTGCATTTAAGTTGAATTAACTTTAAAATTTTTTGTAAAACTTTAGTTTTAGTCGTGTATATTGTACTCGTATGCTTTCTAACTAGGATCCCTGTAAGCGGTGGGGTGGTACGAGCGAGTGTAACTGTCCCAAAGGTCCCAAGGCTTGCGTTTGTATCGGTAAAGGCTTATTACCGACCGGAGAAACACAGACATGTCCGCCACAGTCTGACAATGAGGATGATGTATGAGTTTTGTATTATATATTTAGTTTTAGTATTTAATGATTACAATTTCATAATTCGTCAAAATCGATAAAATTATTTCATGCAATACACTTGTAATTGCTAACAGTCTCTATAATAAGTGTTGTTTTTTCCTAATACAATTTAAATATTTTATGACTAAAATTAATGTACATTTTTGCAATTCCATTCACATTTTCTTAGTTAATATAGTTTTGGTATATGTATATATCTTAAGCTAAATTACAAAATTTGCTTGAATTATAAAAGTGAAAAGCATGTTAATTTCACAAGAACTTTGAACATACAAAAACTGAAACTCAGCAGATTAACGATGAGGATAGTTTAAGATTCGTACTTCGAAGGGACATCGATAATATATTGTTCAAATCTATAAATCTGAAGTAGGAAATTTATCCGTGATTTAAATAAAAATTAAATTTCTCTTATTAATATATAATTTTTAGGCAAATGTCATATCTTGCCCATATCGTGAGAATGGACCCTGCGGTATCGAATGCGCTGCTCGAGCGCCCGTCGACGTTGGCAGGGAAGTTGCTGCCTGGAAACCCGATGCTTGCCAAGGTTTGTAAATTTCTACCAAAATTATAAGAGTATAATAATTAAGATGAAATAATAATAACGTTAATATAAAATGAAGTGTGGTATATGTGGAAAAGATGGCATTAGATGCTTCTAATGCCATCTTTTATGGATAGGGGTAATGTTGTTGAACAAACTCTATAGAGATAATAAATCATAAAGGAAATTACAAAAAATTGAGATTACTACTTTTGATTTAATTTGCATGCAGATATTCATTATAATATTTCAAGTATTGTGGTTATAACAAGGACGTGGAAATTGCTACTAGGATTTTGGCTTGTTTTCATAATACTATTAATATATTTATCCTTTTGAATACAAACAAATTTATTTTTGTTGTGATAGGTCCTTCGTGCCAGTTTAGAAATATGCGTGCTGCTCAGTGTGTTCTGGGACCGGAAGTGTTAGCAACTATTTCAAGACAAGGATTTATCAACTCTTTCGACGCTAGTTCACCGAGGATGTCTGGAAAACAGGTAAAAGAAAAACGAATTATCTTAAATTGAAAGAAAATCTTTTGACCCATTGAGCAATTACAACATATTGCTCCTTTATTAATATCACATAATCAATTATTAGGTGGTGCAATAACTAAGTATTTTCATTTGACAGGCTACTTGCAAGTGCAGCGGTACTCCAACAATACCCTGCGTTTGTCACAAGGGTAAGTAATAGATTAATTCATTAATATGGGAGTACAATTTTCGACGTCAATTATATGACATTAAAATGTCGTTTTAGATCTTAGAAGTCAACCACGTCAAAATATTATTCAAGAGGTATTGGGAAGATACACAGATGTAACGCCTATAGAAAAAGTAAGTTATACGATGATTAGCAGTGACTCAATTGACATCAGAAATTGATTTATAGTACTTTAATTTAATAATCCCTAACAATAAACTAAATTGATGTATTTGGAATGTTTAATAAATGTGACTAAAAATGTTTTGGTGGTTTTATTTAAATTTAATTAAAACAAATTAAACCACCATTAGGTATGAAGTGATTAAAAAAAGCTGAAAATTGTCTCAGGTAGTCTCTGTGGATGGAAATAGCATCAGAGAGACAGAAGGAAATATTAAAGCAAGAGATGCGAGTGTTGATGACACTTACTATAATAAGTCAATACAATTATGCAATTGTTCCTGTAATTCAATGATTTCCGTGAGTGAACAAGTCACGGCAAAATATAATCATATAGAAAAGGGACAGATAATAAAAACTGATGTTAATAATAATTGTAAAAATGAGCTTATTCACAGCCTTCCAAAAAATGATACCGTAAAATCATCATGTCAACCAATCCAATCACGTGGTGAAGAAATAAACGGTGCAGGGAAGAGAAGTTCAATACGACTTCACGTATATGTTGCACAAGAAAATATTTGCAAGGAAGTTAATGAACTTATGAAAAACGTGATTGCATTTGATGGTACCATTAAATCTAATAATTTATGTGAATGGGTATCACTAAATTCTTTTATAAAAGAAGTTACAGCTCTTACTCAAATAACTCCAGATGCAAGTAATACGACGTTTGTGCAAGATCAAATAAAGCAAGAACTAAAAGGAAAACTAAGCAATGCAAAATCATTAAAGGAAAATAATATAAGAGAAGTAAAAAAGACCTGCAAGAGAATTGCAACATTATATATGAATGATAAATATAAATAAAGTTATTATATAACCTAAAAACTTACTTTATTTACTTCAGTTTTTTTAATGAAATTTAAACGAGTTTAAGATAAACGTCATTAAAACAAAAATAACACTAACGTGCTTTCAATTGTTTTTGTACTCCCATATAAAACTTGTTGGTGTGGTGTTAAATTATAAGGGTATTAATAATTATTCGAAAACGTTGATTTACAGATTCAGAACAACTAAATGCAAATTTAAGCGGGATGTGTGACCAAAGTTGTGCGGTTGTTGAAAAATTTCTTGATTCCAGGGATAACCAAGAAAGCAATAAACATATTACGTTTAAGAATATGAATATTGAAAATACACAAAACGAACCAACCAAGTATGTACAAGTGGATGTGCGTGATAATAACAACAGAACTGAAAGTTCGTCAATTTTAAAGTCTAATGGAAATAATTTAAAAATAGCATTAAACCAAAAACTTATAGCGTTATTAGAAAGTAAAATGGAGGAGAAGAAAATTTTGCCTCTTAAATTTAAAAATGGTGAAAATGGTGAACTTCTGGTTGACTTCCAGACAGATGATTCTATGAGTGAGGGTGAGGCAAGAATATTAGCGAAAAGGTCACCATCAGGAAATATTTATTTGGAAATCGAAAAAAATGAAGAAATTAATAAACAACGGTCCAATGGCTATGCTAATTCAACTAATTCAAATACTAAAGACGGTAAAGAAGACAGTCTAGAAAGAGATATAAATTGTGCAAATAAAATATTCAAAGTCAAAGTAATTGGTACTCCAGAACTCAATGAGAAAGAAGAGTTATTTGCACTCAAATCCACGCGTTCGGGTAATTTTGAAATAGTTCTTGATAAAGAATTCGAAAAATGGTATAAAGCAACTGTAAAGAATCACGAGGGAGAAGATGATGAGTATTATATGCGCTTGAAAAGTACAGATTCTGGTAATTACATCCTAAACTTGGAAGACAATAGTGAAAGCACCTTGCATAGTAAAAATGCATTACTAGTGAAATCTGATTCTGGTAACATAAAAGTTATTGTTAATGATGCAGCAAAAAAATCCCCTATTAAAAAGGAGTCGTTCTCAAAATCTATATTATCTCCTAAAACATTCAAAGATTTGTTACAAAAGCTTCCGTCTTCTAGTAAAGAGCATCAGACGGAAAATATTAAAAAGTCTCATTTACGACCTCAAAAGTCTATCAGCGATTCTGGTTTATATGGAAGAACTAAATTTAATTTACAAAATGAACAATATTTTCCTTCTGATAAAACTCCTGTTCTCAATATGACAAGTTCTGGTGAATTCACAGTTACCTTAAATAAGGAATCAAAGAAATCATTCATAAATAACCTAAAAAAATACTTAAGCAACTCTTCTAAAGGACTAGTGCCAATAAGAAGAAGCGTGTCTGGCGTCATATATGTTGATTTGAGTAGCTCAAATAACTTGAGCAATTATGGAACAGTTAAAATAACACCATCCGGCAATATATATATAACATTAGATGAACAATTGGGCTTTGCGAAAGAAGTTTTTGGGAATAATGGAAACAGAAAAATGAGTGGAGAGAAACAATCTTCAGAAAATGAGCAAATGAGTTCTAACAAGGAATCTGATTCGAAAAAATGTCAGAACTGTGACAAATCTATACGCTGTGATTGTAAAAAAATGCGTGACAAAGCAAACAATTGGTCTTCCAAGCGTTCTGTTGATGGATCATCAGAAACTCATCCCAGTAAATCAAAAAAAGGAGACATTAAACAAATATTTAGAAATATTTGCGTTAAAAAAACAGAAAAAAAGAATAATAAATCAAATAGTAAGCAAATAATAAGCAAAGCAAATAACTTAAGTGAGAAGAAAGCTCCACATATAGTAATAAAACCGTATGAATGTCAACCAACTATAATCAATAATTCTAAAGAAAATGCCTATTCAGTATGTCCCTATCACATTAATAGATACAATAAGGTATCTAACGAAATATTAGAAGTTTCGGGCCCATGTCGTAATTCAAAAAATACGAAGGAAGAAAATCTATCGGCTATCAAAGAAGAGAAACCTTTACAAAGTGATAGGAAGGCCTTCGATTGGGATTCTTTGGAGTATCTTCCACCTCAACTGCCTCCGTTCCTTACACGCTTTAAGTTTATTTAAAACAGACATGGTTTATGATCATAGTAGAAAAATAAATATTATTAAAACATATTTATTGTAGAACGCGTTATGACTGAACTTTGTTCAGATAAAAATTTGTTTGTCCATTAAAAAGTATTACATTGTTTCATAGAATTTTACTAAATATTAAAAAAAAATACTTACAATGTTTGAAATATTTAAAGTTGGGATTAAAATAACATTTTTGTGAATCTCATTACCTACCTTTTTGGTAATATGGTATTACTTAAATAAAAAGAAAATTTTATATTAAATTCAAGAACAAAACAGAGTATGAATATAGTGAATGGTTTTAATTTCATTTTGTACTTTACTATTAAAATTTTGTTTTTCTTCTTAGTCTACTTTCTACTTAAAGGCCTACTTTCTCTTACTAAAGAAATTGACTCCGACAATTTAACAAAACATATTTTCGAATTGACAGGAAAAAGGAAAATCACGTACGAATTGTACCTTTGCAACATAACGTCCAAGAAAACTGTACACAGAGCGAAATTACTCTCTAGACTCTAATTGCTAGGACATAAGAGCTAAAGTTGTGGAAATCTTTACAATTTTATACACATTTCACACAAAATTTGTGTGATAAAGAACAATTTGTATTCAATAAGCCTCGCGGGGGTGTAAGTAGCGGGTGTGGCATTTAGCGTTTTTATTTCACTATTTTTTCCGACTTGAAAAGAAACTACATCCCAAAATCTTCGCTGAAATGCAAAGTATATTACAAAGATGTAAATTTTGAGGAAATCATCTAATATTTCTATAAACATTAAAATAAAATATTGATTAAAACAAATGCATAAAAATATCATTTATCACTCTCAATATTGTTTAACATTTTCCCATAAATAATAGTAGTAAAAAAATAGTCAGTGGTGGTTCAGACACTACAAATAAAGTTACAATGAGACTCAATAAATACAATCCATTATTATATTTTTTATCAGTGCTAGAAACTTTTCTTTCAAAATTGCTATCCGGGCCAGGGGAATTGGATAAAGCAAGTGTAATTTTTATCTTTCCGTCTAGACGACAATTTAGATGAGGTACTACACCCTGGCCGCTCTTTGTTTCTACTATCCCGCTGGTATTTTAAGTGCAGAAATTGCATTTACGGCCAAACCATAATTTACTTCAATGAAAAGTGCACCGATAAATCTTTCCAACAGCGACGTTTGATAATTCATATTGCTTTTTCAATGAATTTCTTACAATATTTTGATTGTCTATTAGGTACTTAATTAATTTATAATTATTATAATTATGTATTGATTATAAATCACACGAGAATAAATTAAATTAAAGAACTTATAATAACTTAAAAGTATTCAATTTTAAATATTGTTATCAATTTGAAAATCTATATTATTTACATATTGGAGATATATTAGCTTTTACAATCCCAATTTTTTCATTCTTTTTTTTAAGTTATTAACACATAAATGTTAAATGAAACTAATATTTTTCGGATGTACTACGCGATTTTTTATTTTTTATCAAAAACTACATACTCCCGACGTTTCGGTTACTTTACAGTAACAGTGATCACGGGCAGACGAGATGTAATATTCAATATTAGTTTCATTTAAATGAATACTCGCGACAGTCTTAGATCTCTTTACATAAAAGTTTCTTTAAGTTTAAGAATCTGTTTACTCAATTGAATCTGTGAGTGAAAAACAGTATGCATAAATAATGACCGTTAAAACTGTATAACAAACAACTACAATGAGAATTCGATGACAATGCAGTCTATAATATGAGGAAAAACGAGAAACTAATTTGTGTTTCACACTTGTCAGTAAACAAAAAAAATGTAGCGTGTCTTGCAAGTTTTGGGGTCTTCCGCGTTCCCCTTCGTCACGTCAGGGTAAATTTTTTCAAGCATCTCGCAGATTGATTTACGACCGAGTGATCAAGTTTTTCTCGTGTTCCAGATAATACCTTTTTTGCGGAGATAATTGAAATACATGGAGTGTTTATTGATCATCTGTGGTTTACTTCTCAAGTGTTTAGTTTGTAGGTATTTATTGAATTTATAATCATCTTCGTGAGGACATACCTACTTGTTGGAACAAAATAGTCTCTTGTTTAATATCTTGCCTACTTTCAATAATTTTTTGTGTATAAGATTTAATTTGTTATGTCATAAAATTAAAATGAAAATATTTTTGTTTGGTACGGTTCCCTTTCATGTGGATGTTGTACGTTATAATTTTTATATTTATCAGTTCTTTACCGACAAAATATTTGGTAAAATTGTCTTAGTTTTAGGCAATACCTACCCTTTGAAATTGTATACGGAATAGCTATGAAATATGATACAGACTGTGAAAGAGGGTTTCTTTCAAGAGAATTTAATTAATTTGCCAATTGTTTAGTTTCTTAGGCTTCATTATCTGTTAAGAACCTATTGTAATTATTACGAATGTTAAAATATCAAACAAAATAACTATTTCAATTTAAACATTTACAAATATAAAAGGTTTTATTTTCAAAAACTTTTGGAATACAATACACTATTGTTGCCAACGAAACAAAAGCTGTCATTGCCTACAGGCCCTAAAACCGTAAAACTTTTAGTACTTGACCCAGCTACAGACTGTACATAAAATAGAATGGTCGGTCACCGTGACTAAAAAATTGGAGGACGCGTATCTAAAACGAGATACAGTGAATTATCTGTTGTGGACTTCGTTAGATTTTATAAGGTTTAAATACTACATATAAGTATAATATATAAAGAAGGATCCTTTTACAAATAATCCTCTACACATATGCAATGTTTTGTCTCACTTTTTATAATTGAACAAATTCTTAAAGTTACAAGTCGCTGTCTTTACTTATTATACATTTGTAAAATAAGCCCATTGATGGCTATGGTCGCAAATTGAGTAGAAAGTAATGTAAGAGATCTTTATAATATTACATTCCAATAAAATTGCGATTTATAAAATTACAACCTACCCATTCAAATAAAATTGCGATATGTCCTAGATAAAGTGAAACAGTGGCTACTTTTTAACAAAAGAATTCCCAGAAATCAGGAGTAGAGCCCTGGTGAAACTAGTTTTCTCTTAAACTAAATCCAATTTTCTACACGACCCTAAAAAGTAAAGTACAGGAACGATCTCAAGTTGGTTCGGATTTAAATAAATAACTGAAAAGTTTAAGACATTGCCGAGTTTCGTAGAGTCACCCATGACTTGCATTTTGAAGTCACGTCGTTAAAAAGGATTCTTTTTTATGAAAAAAACAGACTATTCCTTAAAACTTACTATACTACGATTACTATATAAACGATAATATATGAATTTTTATACTTTTTTGCTCTCCACAAATACTATTATTAGTTTTCTAAAACAAACATTTATTTCAAGCAGGCTTATATAACAAAACAGAATTTACTCGTACTTGAATATAAAATAAAATAGAATAACATGACCTCTTTTATTAAATTTATTACAAGCAAATAATATTTATTCATATGGAAACTGTAATACGTATTTTATGAAAATCTGCGTCAAGATCTCGGAATCTTGGATCTTGGGTCCCGTATCCAGTTTCATGACCTTTGAGTAATGGATTCGTAGTATTGGAAGGTATTAGTCGATTGCATAAACAGACATTATTTTAAACGAAACTTTATCGCAATATATCTTTCAAGCTCCACTGCTCATTACAAATGCGATTCGCATCGGATTGCATAAAAAAGTTTGACAGCCGACGTTTAAAGCCGTGTACACATTAATCGAAGCGGAGTCATAATGACGCGCTATTTATTCGGCCTCACAAATTGTGTGCATTATCATAAATTTTTGTTATCCTTTCGTTTAAACAATCAATCAGTTTTGGATTCGTGCGACGGATGGGGAATCAATTTCATAAGGGTCTTTTAAATTGTATTGGTTTCTTTGAATTTCAATTTTTATGTGACTTAATTTTCTGCAACGATTTTTATTGATATTTGTATCAAACATTTTATATTCTGTAATATATTTTCGTAAGTGTATTAGATTATAATAAAATGAAAATCTCCTCAGACTTTACATATTAATTACTTATATTGTTGTAGTGTTTTAAAAGGACTTGTAATTTTTTTAATAAAATGTTTTTTAAATAAGAATTTAAGTCAACTAACCTGATGAAGACGCCTTTATATAGTTCCCCTAGACACGTACCCATCTCTAATGTATTGGAAAATTGAAAATTTCCAGTGCGATGATGTGCGCCAGATCTCCGGTTTTATTTCAATGATCTGTTGATTTTTACTTAAGGTTTTTGGTAATTTAAATTTGATGATATAACAATAAGATTATATTATAAAGCAACCCATTATTATTAAGAGTTAATCATAATTATAAAATAAAAACACAAAAAAGTACACTCTTGTATTGAATAGGTTGTATATAGACGTTTAACAAATCGATTGCTTTATTTATTACGTACAAAGGAATATAAAACATTTTTCTTACGTAAAGGTAAATCGGCCAAATATTCAGATTGGAAAACAATATGATTCCACGGAGCCATTCGCTAAGGTTGTAAAGACGTCCCTTTGTAACCTTTACTCCACAATCGCTATCTCGAAACGAATAGTTGTTTTGTTTTTGAAATAGACTTGTGTAGACGTAGAACTGTATTGAAACAGGATTTGATTTCGGTGAAAGTGCGCTTATTATAATATTATTTGAGTTTCTTAACATAAAAGAATCTTTGGCATTTCGGAGTATGGTATATTTTTATTATTCAAATGTAATTCTAATACTTTTTTAGTATATTATTTTATTTTTCATTCTATCAATATTATTCCTATAATAGTGGCTTCTAGATAAACAACTTGTTCAAACTATTTTTCTGTCTAAACCCATTTAAAAATATATTTTGTTAAGTAGTAGTAAATTGTTATTAGGCACAAAATTATTCATTAAAGAACATTGTTCCCTTCAAAAATTTGTCGTAATATTTATTACATTATATTAATAAAGGTTTATTATTATTAGCAAGATTTAATCCGAGTGTCAGTTTAGAAGTTAAAACAAATACAAAATTAACATTTTACTCGTTTTCATTACCTGCACATTAATCGAAGTTGGATGTTCTAATTAAATACTTTAGCTCAGAAGTTTTAAACCTTTTTCATATCACTAGATATATGTCAGTAGATGCGCAATAATCTCTGTCGTGTGTACTTTGTCCGATGAATGATGACCATCACAATGATGGATTGTTCAAATCATGGCAATTTTTAAGTTTCACCTAACGTCAAACATTTAGCAATACTATAAAAAAATATATACATATTATTAGAGTTAAAATACATACCTATACGAAAAACTCATATTCATAATAGCATGAGTTGTAAATTATATGTAAATATAATATTATAGTATTATTTAACCTATATATACATATATATAATGTTATATCAGTATAAAAGGTTAAAAGATATAATCTAAAACATGTGTCGTTCTTGGTGAACTAATAGCTTACCTTAATATGATTTACCACAGCCGTGTGTGGTTTTGTCAGGGAAGCTAACATCTCTTTAAGATCCTGTGTTATTTAGTATGTGGCTCTCGACAAGACACTCAATTGATGTTTCCGATTGACTGAACAATGTATCTACATGAAGTGGTTATAACAACTTTAAATAAATTAAATAAACTTACCAGTTATGACATTGTTTTTGTATTTTATCACAAGCAGGCCGTTTGATGATCATCATTTTGTAATACCTAGGAATACTACCACTTTTGCAATGAAACACAATGTATTAATTTATGCTGTACATTTTTCTACGTTCGTATTTAGAATTTAACACTACTTAACTTATTGTCAATAAACTTACTATATTTAGTGATGAGTAAATGCAGCACAGTATAATCAGAGAAATGTGTAGAAATCGAATCACATACCCCTTGATTTTGTGAAGATCACGAACAGAATACAAATGAGCCGGTCCAATCGAACCCTCAGAGGATAATCGAAAAAATACGTTTCCTACGCACTTTCAACCATATAGAGTAAGCGTTTTTATCTGAATGAAGAATCGCTGAAACATGACCCAAGGACTGATACTATCCGATATATTGCGATACAAAATACTGCTTTGGTATAATTTACTTTACCTACTTAACTAGTCCACAGATTATATATGGATATTAATTTATTTTCGCTTAGAAAAATGAACTGTCTAACAATATACACGTAATTTATTATATTTTGAAGGTTGAAACAATTATAATATTTTCTTAATTTAGTACTACTGACGGCTTCGCTCTCATATGGAGTGTAATTTGAGTGCTTCAATTTATTCAGTTCCATAGTTTTAGTGTAACTAATGAACACACATAAATATATATACTATCATAGAATACAATTTTGAAATTAAACTGAACAAAAAAAATACATTTCTGGTTAAATTCTGGTCAAAAACTAAAAGATAATATGAATAATAATTATTATCTATCATTTATTAAAAACTATCCAATTAATATAAAAAATACAACGTACAAATGTTTCCTATAACTATATTTAGTGAGATTAAGGCACACACTATATATATAATATAATATAATTATAAAATCCTTATATATGTCAGTAGCCATCGCCGCGGGTACAAGAGTTGAAACTTTTGCATCGTCTTACATCAGCTAAGGGTGGACATTCTCTCCCGTCTTTCGTATTCTTCCTGATGACATATCTGCTTCTATATTGATCACCAACACCGCAAGTTACTGAACATGATGACCAGCTCCCCCAATCAGAGACGAGGCAATCTTGAGCTAAAAGAGCATGTGTTGATAATAATTCATTGATAGCTTGAACGTGAAGGAAGATCTACTTTAAATATTGTGTATTATTAATAAGACAATTTGCTCAAAATAACTTATTATTTTTATGTATTGATATGTTAATTATTTTCATGTAATTAGGATGAAGGAAGATCGATCTACTTTAAATATTGTGTATAACTAATTAGACAATTAATTAAAAGATTAAAAATAAAAAATAAAGATTAAAAGATTAATAATTAAAAGATATGTTAATTTTTTGGTATAATTAGAATGTTTTCTTACGCTGTAACTTATTAACTGCATGGTGAAGACGAGATCTGAAATGTCGAGGAAGATGCCGCCCCAATCCAAGTCGTCTGCCATTTGCTACAGCTAGCACCAAGTCATCATTGCTGCTTAAATCACCATAATCCTTTGAATTTTCTCTGAAAACAGCAATCAAACTATTTTATTACTCTCATTTTAATATCTAATATCATGAAAAATTATTATAAAATTATATTTCTGTCGCTTGAACACTTAACGATAATGACGATCGGTAACAGTAATTAACGTTTTGAGACTGCCTCCCATTGTGAGATATACCTCGATTAATTAAAATATCGTTTACGCTACCATGGAGGCTGTAATTAAACAAATTATACAAAAATATTAGAGCTCTTTCCTTCAGAGTTCTTAGGTATCTTTTGTTTTTAGCGTAATTAATGTTCAGGTAATAGGGAAGGAAATTAAAATCATATAAAAATATCCTGTTAATCGTTAATGATGTTTTATAATTACCTTAATTAGTTTGATTGCTCCGAGCGTTATTTTTCAAGGAATAAAATATACATATAAAAGTTATTACTTACATAAAAGGAGATTTTGTTACAACAATCACATTGTTATCATCCTGTTTCGAGACTGGATGTGCAACTTCATCTTCTTCCAAATCTTTTAAATCTGCATAGTTTCTTGTTGTATAATCTCTAACATAATTTTCTACTAAATTTACTTTTCTTCTGGGTGAGTTCATAGACTTTTCTTTCATCTTTATATTATTTAATAATTCTTCACGGATCATGTCGTTTTGTTCTCTTATTGAATACTCCTTTATCTGTAAATTGAATATAAATAAATTATAAAATCAAACTGATTTTTATTAAACGTTTTTTTAAAGTAAAAGTTATAATTTGAGAGTGCCTTCTTAACTAACTTTATATTTTTAACAAAAATTGTATCTTAAGGAGCTCTTAAAGTAAAAATGAAATATTTGAACAGTCAGAGATATATTAATATGGAATATTTCATCGGTAACCAAAATTAGTTTTCTCTAGTTCTATTTAAAAATAGTAGAAAAAAAGTTCTATGGACATATTTACGGTATCTTCTTTTCTCGTCTATAATACCTTCAAAAACTCAATCTTTGCTATAGGTGGAAGTTCACGTAGATCTGGATAGTAGAAAGCAGCAGATGGGTGATTAGGTTGTTGTGGTCTATGTTTGCTGACAGGTTCAAAAGATTCCCAGTGAGGTGCCGTGAAAGATAAACCGCTGGCCGCTCCGACATCTAGAGGCTCGAGCTGGAAAAAGATTATGAGTTATATTCGAATCTATGACAAAATGTAATTTTTATACTATATTCTAATTATTTTTAGGCTGAAATGTTCGGATTCTATACATTCTATAGAAGTGATACTTATATTCTATGCCTGCGACTCGGGTAGCAATTCCAAACCCGGGACAGAAAGTAATTTCGTCCCGTATTACACAATATACTATTACACTATTTTACGTCTTCAAATCGTCTTGAAGTCAAATAATAGCGAAACATAATAGGTTTGAAAGTTTTCTAAAAATATATGTATATGATTATCAAAGAAAATTCTTACATCAAGTGTGATTTGATCCACCCAAGAAGAATCCACGCAGAGTTCCAAGCTGTCAACACCAATGAACCAATCTGGAGACGGTATTAGTCGACACGCCACTGATATCTGAAGTATTGATTTTTATATAAAGGAAAAGCTTAAATCATTTAAGCACTATAATATTTAAGACCTTTACGAGATTTTAAGTCATGAGAATCTATGGTCTTATTACTATGTAAAATCATATCGTGAGAAAGCATAGTAAAGCACAGAATGATTTTAACTAAAAATTTATATCAGAATTTCATGTCGTTTAATTTCATTATACGTACCAAGCTGTACTTTCCTTCCAAAAACACTATATTTCCAGTTTCACCCGTGCCATCACCAACAGCTGGTGCAAGAAACTGATCGTAGACCCTTTCATCACCATCACCTTGATTCAGCAATTCCTCGGGTTTACCGAAAAGAGCGAAATTGCGCATCGCCTCACTCGCGACATCACCCACATGATAAAGATGATACGAAGAGTTGTGAGATTGCCCTGTAAGACATTTTAAGATTCATATTATTATTGGGAATTAGTTTTAAACCAATGATTTAAAAAGATAAGTCGTCTATTTTGTTGGTGCGTAATAGTTGCTATGTTTAAAAAGCTCAAAATTTGTGTTGCAGCTTTAGAGTTTAACTGCTTTGGGTAACAAAGCCAGCCCTATTTCACACATACAAAAATCGCATAATATTTGTGAAAAATTTAATCTTCACTTTAAACAACAATGTTGAATATATTATAAATTGAAAATCTTGTTTTTCTTTTGTAATTTTATAAGAATAACAAAATATTAATTCAAAACTATATTTTCTTTTAAAGGTAACTTTCACATGTATTCGTTTTTAACCATATGTATAATATTTTTTTTGTCGATACTGTTATAAGTTGGTGATAAATCGAACATTTTATAAGGTCCGATGTCCGCATCTGTCAACAACATAAAAGCTAATTGAGGACAGCTATTGCGCCTGATAAAATACAATAGCAAAACATATTATTTGTCAGAGAATATCGTATAATTACATTATTGTTTGACTTCACTTTTACTGGTGTAAAACATGCGCTGTAATTAAAATTGTAGTCATGGTAAATTAACAGAATGATATATTTTTAGAAGAGAAACTTGTGTGTTTGTGTTTCTAGACTGTAAATAGTGATATGTAGTTTCAAATGCCTTTTTTATTTTAAACCGCTTATCAAAGACATTCTAATAGTCCATTCTAAAAGAATATAGAATTTTATAAGATTTCATTAAATATTTTGGATTCGGATAAAATACATATCTTATTTGAATAAAGGTAGGAATATCAAAATAATACTGGTTGGGCATTATGTGATTATATATCAAAAACTAAAGTAGTCGCTCGAACACAATATTCGATGGAATTCATTTTTTTGCGAAATTTATTTAGTGTAACACCGGTGTAACGGCAGTCAAGCCTTTAAATATTGATCTATCTCGCATGAATGGCATTCCCTAATAGGGTTGGTTATACACGAAATAGAAGATAAAACAAAATAATTTATTTAATATATTAACTGATCTATTGTTGCTTTTACATTCGATATTTCAAAGAAGATTTATAAGTATTTCATTTAAGATTTTAAGTAATTCTGTACATATATAAATTTAAATGGAATTGATAAGAATTTTTTACCCAAATGGTCTTAATTTTTTGTCATCCTTTTGTGATATGTGCAAAAATGTATTCTAATATATTGTACTATTAAATTAATGGAGCTCTTTGTCAGATTTTATGAGAGTAATTAAATTTCTAAATTGTAGAATATGTAGGACATTCAAGCCGTTTATTGTGATTTAAAACCTTAGTTACGTAAAAGATTTGACCATAAAAATTTAAAGCCTTTTTGTATAGAAAAATATTACTCGTATAGAAATATTTATTTATTTATTTGTTTATACATTATATAATGTAAGAACAGTTAATCTTTTATTTTTCTCTCAACCCTAGAGACGGTCTTCAATGATTGGAAGCACAAAAAGAATTTTAACGTTAAAAAAGGACATGCCGTTGACATTGTGTGTGTAATTCAATATCTTTTCATAATAAAACCTTTGTTCCAGAGTTATGTTTGACTAAATTGTGAAAATAATATATGTTTTTAAATACCAATATTCCTTCAGTATTATATAACACGTTCATTAAAATGAAAGCTTGTTTTTTTCCTTTACTTCTTTTAATGAGTGAAGTGTGGTCGTTAGTATGGAATGGTAAAGTGCTATGGTTTTTCTAGAGAACTCTTTATTGTTACGATGTTTATTTTGTATTTTCGATATCCGTGTAATCGCTTTCTTGATCTTAATTCAATAACGTTATCTTAAAACGTTTATAGCGTGATGTAACAGCGATCAGGTAAAACGAAGCGTCCGGATAACATCTCCCTTTGTGCAGAGGATGAAGGGAAGACAAATAAATATCGTCTTATCTCGAACGAGTAAACCCGCGAAATGTCACTTAACTTTGGAGATAGAAGAAAAACTTTTAGTTCCCCTTTCAAAGAATTCCAAAGCCATTGTCTCTCCGATTGTCCTAATTACATAAATAAAAGTTTCCGCCGCCGAGGCTTGTTTTTCGCCAAAAGAAATTACAAAACTTGTGTAATCGTTCCGATGAATTTGGTTTTTGTTTTTTGGCAATCAATTAGCGGACATCCTGTCTATTGTCTAACGATTTTTGATCTCCCCGCCAATTGAATAGAATAGACGACGTCTTGTGTCACACTTTTTATCACGAAATGACACAATGCTTGCGGAAATCTCGTTCTTATTACTAACAGTATCACATGTATTTATTTTATATGGATATTAACATTTTGAAAAGCTATATACATATATTTGTACGGTTTTAAATACTCGTATAATGAAGATAAACCTACCAAATAAAGGAGACCACTGTGCTTTAGGTTGATTCAAAGGATAATCTTTAGGAAAGTTTGTCTCACTCCATAAAAATTTCACTGTAACTTTATAAACAGCCGTGTCCAGATCACATCCTGTACAATAAGTTGACCACGTGACAAATAAAAACAAAATGGCGACCATTTGCGGTCGCACCGCCTTTAATGGAGGACGCATTAAGGGCTTCGGTAAATTCATCAACACTGAATGCAGTCTTGATTTCTAATTGAAATTTTATTTCACGGTTTTAATACAGTAGAACTTTAGTTTAGACGTTTAAATTCCGTCCGATTTCCGCGTGCGTGCAACGTTACTGAGGAGACTTGGTGGACTTTTCTATTTCGAGTTCTCACTGCTCCTCGAACGAAAATAAACACAGGTTGACGATCTTTATCGAAGTGAAACGTATCATTTATATTACGGACATATTTATGTCACCGATGAAATATTTGTTATATTTCTACAGTATGATTTTACTTTCAATAGCTCATATATGTTCTATACCCATGCTCCGCTCTGCAATGTATTGGATATAGGATAGCTTTATAAAAATGTAATTATAAGTACTCATTATTGTTTCAAAATGCTTACAGTTTTCAATTTCGAATGTTTATCGATTCAAAGTAAGAGTATGTAGTGTTTTATTATATAGTAGCGTCTGAATAACGAATAATAGTGAAGAAAAATTGGATCCTTAAATAATAAAGAAACGTTGAGCGGTCTCAGGTGCCTTACCGATAATTCCTCTGAAGAGTTTCATGAGGGAACACTAAACCCACTTCAAGTGTCCGAAGGATTGATTGATCGAAGCCTATTGGATGGATAGTAGTCATTTCTTCTCAGTAAATAAAGCATGTACATGCTTATATTTGTTATATTATTTTACAGTTAATAAAATAATAAATAGTTATATATTTTTGTGGCAATAACTTAATAGAAAATTATGATAAACAAACAGTCGTTTATACGTTACTTGGTTCTTCAATTAAACTAATTGAAAACGTTTCCAGCACAAAAACAAGTATTTATTTACAAACCTTTGATGCCGTAGAACGGGTTGTGAATTTCTCTGGAATGTAATTTTAATAATCAAAACAAATTTCCTATATATGTATCAATGTTTTGGTAGTTTTTGAAGCATGCATTTTTATACAATATATCACCAATATTCGATACTCGTAAAAAATAGTAGTTATTTTAATAAAATCACAAATTTTGGAATGGATTATTACTCAGTTGAAAGACTATTATTGCAAATATTTTACTTTTGATACAAACACAATAATTATTAGAGTAGATTTTTTTGTGTTCTTTTTATTGATTTTTGGTTAGTTGTTTGTTAATTCGAATTTAAACTGAAGAGATATTAATTGTCATTTTATAAGAAATAAGAATATTTTTTCTTCTCAATAAGTTGTTTGTATCGTTGAAATTATAACCAAATTAGAGAACTTGGAATCGTGATGCTTGAACTTTCGCATTCAAATTCCTAATATTCCTTTAAGATCTTTGAAGTTCCACACAAATAGAACTGTATCGGAAACCGACTTGAAGCTATAACAGTAATAATACAACTTAACAGCTAAGAAAATAATTATAAGCAATAATAAACCCTACGGCATTCACATTAAGGCATTAATTCGTTCGATAAATTTTGATGCGATCGCAAATAAGACCAGAATGTGGAATTTAAATTGATTGGGTCAATAAAGTAACAGCAATTTATTGAAAGTGAATTTACGATCTGCGGAGTTAAGTTTAAACTGAAATAGTATAAAAACCAAACCCATCGTAAGTCCTAGCGTGTATACTTTTAAATGTACCTTAAGTTATTTCGTTTATGCAAAAACATTACAACGAATAAATATTTGTAAAAATATTTTTTACACTAGCTCGTTCAAAGTATTATATATTAATTCCTAATACACATTAACTTGTCCATTTTTCAGCTTCTATATTATTAGGAATGTAAAGAAAAGATTAAGTATAGTATAAAAAATCATGCAATTATTTAAACTATGAATCCTTTTCTTTCTTATAAAAAAGTTAGCCTCGAATGCATATTTAAATTAAATTATAAATTACATTAAAGACCGAATTTGAGCACTACTTTATTTTCAAACTACGAAACTGGAACAGAGCTATTTATACATATTTATATGTCACAGAACAATTCCAGCAGTCACAAATAAACAGTTGAAAAGGCAAATAATTGAACTTTGTCGTTCATGTGTATTTTGTTACTAAGTGGAGATTAGAAAGCATTGGCTTCTGATGTAAAATGAAATTCTACTTTAATGAAATTTTAAATGGAAAATATAGAAAAAAGTATATGTATATATTATGAAAGGTATAGAACTTCCGATTTCCAGGATTGTCACTTTTCGGTCGTTTAAAAAAATGAAGTCTTTGTTCTCACATTGGTGAATTAAGAATCGTATACAATAAAACTCATTTGACGATAAATTTTAATACAGTTTTATCACTGTAATCATTGCAGCAATAACATTTTTTATAAATGACCTTTAAAATTTTAAATATTTAGTTGGTTTCACAATTTGGAACCTAATTTTGACATAGCATTTACGTTTCTTTAGTATATTTATAGCGCATCTACACTAATTTATGATAAAAATTGTTATCAAATCACGTTTAAATTACTTAATAAGAAGTATTTATGAAATAGCACTATGTACTCCTCTTTGTATTCATACGTATTTTAATATTGAACACAATAGACAACTACATACATACATACATGTTATAAACTAGTCTGTATGTCCTTTGTCCCCTTATCATAATACCCTTTGCATATTTGAAGGCGGGTGCAGATACTTGTGAAAATATTGCAGTAATATTGTGTTAAATTTTTAGTTTATTTCTAATACATTTAGATTAATATTCAAAATAAATTAAAATCTAAAAATATTGTACAAGTTTTTTAACTGAAATAATAAAAATGTATAAACATTTTGTATGTAAATTAAAGTATGAAATTTATTTTAACTCTCTCGTCATAATTGACTTCAAGATATAATCATATGGTTTTATTATACAGCAAGAGAAATTAGGTAATCTTTGTAGAATGAAGACATTAAACTATAGGCATTGATAAGCACACCTTGTATCGTTGGCAAAAATATTTTTATATATTATGAGATAGAAAAAGATCAGTTATATATATATGAATAATGGCGGATTTTTATGAAAAAAATATGTAAATGACTATACTTTCACATCACATATAGCATCACCAAACTTATGTCAAGTATATATTGACCATTATTTATTTAGGCAGACCCTGGCTAAAGCTGGGAAATTGCCAGGAACAAGAAGATACTAACCATTATTGTTTGTTATATATTAAAGTACCATATATATAATTTAAATGGAGTTAGTAATGTATATTAGCGCTATTAGTTTTGATGGCGTATGCAACATGGAAATAACTTGAGGCTGTCATCAATTATTACAAAAACTTTTCAGAATTCATAATTATTGTTAAAGAAAAACGAAATCAAAGACTGTTTTAAAGGAAAATAGAATTATGTTTAAATTTTGGTATAGATACGACGTTTGGATGAAAGGGGAGTTCAGTGAGTATGATTATGAAGAGTTTGATTATGAAGAACCTTCGAGAAATACAAGAACATTTAGAAAAATTTAAGTTTCATTTTAAAATATCATCGAACGTGCTAAAAGTAATGACATTAGTGACGTCAGCGATGCTGGCGTCTCTCTGTTAATAAACAATGGAATTCGTATTAAATCCTATATATATGTATGTATCAGTAATAATCACTCAATATTGTGGAGTCTCCATATATATATATATAGCCTATTGGATAAACGTCCGCGTGTTCGCAGACAGCTTTCTATGGATCTTCTGAGCGCATTAAATATTCGAGCTGAGTGTCTGTTAGTATGGCTACAGGCAACGGAATGGAGCGTGCGATGACTAGAAATTTCATATTTAATATCCAGCCCCTTCTAATTCATATCTTAGAATTCTTTTTTTTGTTAATAAAATGTCAAGAGTCAGACAGAAATATGAACAATTTCGGGTTGTAATTGGTTTTAGTCCTTATGATGTAAACGTTACATTAAAATGTATGTCGCTGTAATTACTTGCTATTATGTATACAATAAAATGTTAATTATCTCTGATATAGTTAATGTAATGTTCGTAATAACATTGTTTTAATGTTACGCACCGAAATAGGTAATTGTGTCGCGTTAGTGGGTTTACAGCCTTATTAGTATTTATGAAATAGCTTATTAAGACTTAATGAATTAATTACTACGAGTGAATATACATACATTATACACATTCATATAAATATATGTAATTTGATAAGCATTAGTGATGAGAATATTCTAATGTTAGAGTATATTAAGATTAACAAATAACAATATTACTAGTTGGGTACCTTAAAAGGGTTATATAAATTTAAGCATACAATCCGGGGACCCGGAGTTCATTAGATAGAGTGTAATGTAGCAAAATAAACATTCACATGCACTGTAATGGAAACAAACTCAAGAAAGGTCGGAAGCAAAGACCCGGCTGTAACCAACCGCGACTGGTGCCACGGTGCGGAAATTGTACTCGCAAAGAGCAGAGGATATGGTAGTTTAGGTAATGTTTATTTAGTATACAAACATAACAGCCACAGAGTTACGTGTGACGCTCCAGAGATGGATTAAATCGAATAAACATTTCAAAAGCCTTACTATTAATTACACATTGAAAGCGATGTCGAAAAATTTCAATCAAATTCACTGAAATGTCTGACATGCGGTATTTAAATCATCAAAAAATTCCATGGACTTCCCCAGTTCGTACAATAGTAATGTAAACACGCGTAAATTGCCAATTAGTCCGACCTTTTCGGTTTTGCTAACCACCTGAGTATTAATTGCCCCCTCGTGGTTTAACTCGGTTGGACGTTGCTTTGATCTAATTTTGATATCTTTTATTTATTGAACATGTTATAACATATATTGTATTTGTTATATACGAAATGTTAATATCTAAATGGATCGATTTAAAACAAATTTTGTTTATATATATGAGTTATTACATAGATTTGTATTGAAATAAGCAATTGTATTAATCTATTATAAAACTTTCCAGAATATCTTAAGAGGCTAATCCGTCAAGGGTATGTCAGGGGAGATTATGTTGTAATGGTCAG